ACACCGGGGCAGAGGAGGAACAGGAAGGGGGAGCCCCTCGTTGATGTTTGTGAATTTCCTTCTTTGCTTAAACTGGGGAAAACCAGAAAACAAAAAGGGAAGTGAGGAAGGCAAGCAACTGCAGGCGGCAGGTTTAGCCATCACCACCCGGGGGACTGGCTCCTTCCACCCCTCTGCTCTCTAACTCTCCCTGCCTCCATCTCCCTGACCAGGGCGCCTCCTCACAGCCCTCCGTGCTGTTAACCTTCTGAGTCTGTCACTCCACAACTCCTCAACCTTCCATGGCTCCCTACTGCCCACTGGGGTCAGATCAGTCTCCTCACCTCGATGGATAGCCCCCATCTGCCTTTGCAGCGCAGCTCCCATGTCTGCTCCAACGGTCCTCGCTCACCGACGCACAGCTCTTTCCAACTGCGCTTTTCCTTATGCATCTCCTCCACCGGAACGCCTTTCCCTCTTTCAGAAAGGATTCCTGCAGCCCACCCATTAGCTCCCGCCACAAAAGCCACCTGCTTCCCAAGCTCCGGCCTGGTTCTCCAGCCACATGGGGCTTCTCTCACACTGGGCTGCAGACTGGACTGGCATGCCTGTTTCTTCCAATCATCTGTGAGTCCTACAGGGCAGGGTTCATATCTTCTTCACTCATGTACCCCACACACACACACCTGGTCCAGTGCCCAGCCCACAGTAGGAATGTTTTGCTATGGGATTGAAGGATAGTGAGTTAAGATACAACCTGAGAAATGGTTTTGGAGTATTTAAAAAAAAAAAGTGTAAGTACAAGTTGAAGAGAATGGAGGAAGACAGAGAAGTTTGTACAAAAGAGAGAAAAGAATTCACTTAGTCTGTAAATTTTCATTTCCCCTGCCTCCCCCCTGATTCCTCGGAGTTAGAAGGAAGAATTGGCTAGCGGACCCCATCTGGCTGATTTCATTTCAGCCCTTGGGGAAAAAAAATAGCTGGGGCTGCGGCTGGGTGAGGAGGGTGAGGGCACAGGAGGGTGCTGAGGGAAGCAGCCATGTGTTAAGCATTTTCACCATCTGTTTCCTGGGGGTGGGGTGGGGGACCTCTTCGTGTACCCCGCCTCCTCCTCCTCCACCACGTGCAGAACGGAAAGTGGCGTTGGGCTAGCTGGCGCACCTTCAGTGAACAGGCCAGAGCCCAGCCTTCGCGGTGAGGCCCAATCTTAGGGGCATTCCACTCACTTCTCATTCATTTGACAAACAGGAGTCAGGAAGTAGGAAACATGCCAACTGGACAAAACAGGCCCAGTCTGGGTCTTATGAAGCTTACTGTCTGGTGGGGAGACAAACACACGTACCAAAAACAAAACCACGGAAACAAACAAAAGCCCTGGGAGGCAGTGGATGGGAAGGTCTGACTGAGAAGGGCGCCAAGGCCTCTTCTCCGAGGATCGCTCCCTGGAGCTAAGACAGGCCTTTTCTCACGCATCCTGGCCGGGAACAGGCCTCACTTCCGCTCAGCTGGCTTTATTTCTAATTGGTGGAAACCGTCAGCCACACCTGGGACTGAGGCTCGCTCTGGTGCAGAACATACTGCAAAGACAGCAGCAGCTAGTCAGGGGTGTGTTTCTGAACTCCTGAGGTGGCTGTGGTAGCAGAACCAGCCTCTCTGGGCCTCATCACAGCCAGCTTCATGGTTGTTGACGTCCCGTGCTGACTGTCGGTTGAGAGCTTGTGGTTACCAAAAGACAAGTCTCAGCCTCCTTTTCTCTCTCTCTCTCTTTCCAGTATCTCCGAGCCACCTACAGATGCCCCTGCCTGTTTGTTCTGGGCAAATGCAACTTCAGACAGAAGGCACATGGGGAAGAGACGTATATTCAGACACCTGCTCCCCCTCCCTTCCCCACTCCACTCTGCTCCCAGAAGCTGGGCATCTGGGGGGGCTGGGGAATGAGCCCTAGACTTGGGGGTCACGGACACCACAGAACTTGAAATCCAGAGATCTGAGTCCAAGTTCTTGCTCCAATGCCATGTACCTATGGATACGCTGCTGGATCTCTCTGAGCTTTATCTGTAAATGGTGGTTAATAATCCCTGCCCTTGGCATAAAAATACCAGGCTCCACGCAGGACGGAGCTGTCTGCCCAGCTCCTGACCGAGCACTCGGCTGTCTCTGTTCTTCTCCTCTGGGATGTCCTCCCTCAGCACCATAAACCCCCCTTGTCCAAAGCCAGGCATTGTTTCTGCCTCTAACTTGCTTTCTTTCTACAACTCAGTCACCCAGATGCCTCCCTCTCTCACTGATCACCTCCAATTGCTCTTCAACAGCTCTCCATTCTGTTAGACTCTCTGATAGCCACAGCCTCCTCTCCCATCCCACTGCTACGGGCTAGGGCAGGCCTTCTCATTTCTCTCTGGGAGTTTTGCAGGTTTCCAGGCTAGACCCTCCAATCTATGCTCCAATCGGCAATCAAGGCAGTCTTGCGATTGCTGCGTGCAGTCCTTTAATTTCTTCAGGACAAAGCCCAAACTCCTTAATGTGACAAGGTCCACGGGGACCTGCTCCTGCTGACCCTTCCCTGACCACACCTTGAGAGCATGCTTTGCTAGTGAAGTCCAAGAACATGTCCTGTATGTCACCTGTCTCCTCTGCTTCTAGCTCTCCTCAGGCCTTACTTCCTTCAGGAAGTTACTCCTGGTCTCCTCAGATTTAGGGGACTCAAGCCCTGATCCCTATTCCAGGTTCTCCCAGAACCCAGTGCTCCCCACATCAGAGAGCTCACTGTGCTGTCTGAATCACCTGTGCCTCCCATTTAGACTAGGTGCTCCCATAATAGGTGCTCAGCAAATGCTTGTCCAGTGATTAAACAAGGAAATGGATGCACTGAGACAGTGCAAAGAGCACAACCTGGAAGGCAGAGACCGGACTCCAACCCAGCAGTGCTAGCGGACCTGGGTGGGCCAGCCACTGGGTCTGAGGGCTGCCAGCTCCTCTCCCCGGGTCTGCTAACCCCTCAGCGAGGGATGTCTGTTGCCCTCTCTATACACACACACACACACACACACACACACACACACACACACACACAGAATAGAGGAGCCCTCGGGTTAAAGACCCAGGAGCTCATCCTTCAGGTCCAGCAGCACCCAGAACCAAGAACCAGGTGTTAGAGACAGGATGCAGGTGACCCACAGCAGTAACAACCTTCAGAAGTCCGCATCCTGCCAGCTGCTGGGGGCAGGAACCGGCAGTCACCTGCTGACTAGCTTTCTCCAAAGCTGGGGCAATCCCCATCCTCCCTGCCCCTCCCCCATGGCTGGTGAGCAGGGGCTGGGAAGGAGGTAGCTGTGGGGGCTTCAGGGGAGAAAGCCAGACTTTCTCCTGAGCTGCCGGGGAGCAGCGGAGGCCCCAGGAGCAGAACAAGCACAAGCCTTTAACATTGTGCCAGCGGGTGTGGATCTCACAGGACACCCCATTTCTCCACCTCAGCTCCCCATTTTCCCTGGCTCTGCTGAAGGGGAGATGGGTTTGGTGCCCAGTCTGGCGCTGAGTGGGGACTGAGCCTGGCTACCCAGCTCGGTCAGGTCTGAGCGTAATGCATGCATCAGCCACATCTCCTGTGGAGTAAACAACTGCAGACACAGCTCCCTCAGGCACACACACCCCCTCCCCCCCTCCGAACAAAGCAGGCTCGGGAGGCCGCCCCGAAGGACAGGATGGCGGGTTTATATGAGGCAGACACTCCCAGGGGAGTAAAGACGAACAGAGGGACGGATGGAGGCACATGATACTGGACGGGAGGGGGAAAGGTCGGGCAGTGGTCTCTTCTAACCAGTTTGTGGAAGCTGCACCCCACCCCCAAGTGGGGGGTGGGACAACATTGGCACAGGAGGTGGCGAGACAGGCATGAGGTGCCCATCCCTGAGGTGGGCAGCCGGGCAGGGCCCAGTCCTCGTTGGCACAATCGGCTCTCTCTGGCCCAGCTGGGATGCTGGGGAGGGGCAGGCTGCTGGGCTGAGGGGATGCCAGGCAGAGGGACACGGGTCGGAGGGGGATGGGAAGGCCTCTCCTGGGGGGGAGTGGAGTGGACATGGGTAACGACCAGGATCACAAGAGGCAAACACAGAGCAGCAGCAGCAGCAGCAGCCACGCCCCCCAGAGGGATCCGTGGTCCCGGGGGGCAGTGATCACTTCTTGGGCACCAGCCCCAAGGGCCTCTCTCCAGGGGTTTTGGGAGGAGAATGAAGGGGCAGTTTTTGGTTTCAACATGAGGCGGACCAGAGTGTTCCGTGGGCCCCACAGGGGTGTGGAGGGCCCCTCTTCTGGTGGCAGCAGGCAAGGGACATTGTAGGCCAAGCTCATTCCTGGGGCAGATCAAGGCTGAGGCATGGAGGTGGGGGTGAGGGGGAGTATCTCCAATTGCCCACTCCTCAGGGTTAGGTCCTGGGTGGGCAGATGGCACTACACCTGATGCCCGTCAGTTTCTACCCAGACACCCCCCGCAAGGGGCTTCCAGCCGGGAGCTCCCTCTTACAGACGATGCTGCCAGAAAGCTTGGGGTGAGGGAAGGGGGGTGACGGGGAAGCTGGGCATGAGGAGGGACCCCGGCCTGGAGTTTGGGAAGAGAACACTCACGGAAAAGCCTGTGGTCTCTCTCTCTCTCCAGGAAAAGTCCCCTCCCCCTCCCCAAGTCCTCCAGGTTGGAAAAAGGGGCCTCCCGGTTAAGAGGCCCAAAGTAGAAAGAGCTAAGGAAGCGCACCTTTTCTCCGGGAGAGTGAGGGGACAGAGACGCCCCTGAGGTGGGGAAGAAGAGACACTGCAGACAGGTAGGTGGGCATCCCCCCTCCAGCCACCGCGGGGAGATAAAACCCTACAGCTGGAGCTGAAGGGACTCCCAGGAGCTGGGATGCTACCACCTTAAAACAAAAACAAACAAAACAAAAAACCAACACTGAGCAAAGGCATCTGAAAGAGAAGCGCCCCTGGAGGTGAAACACCTCCCGGGGCTCAGCGTCCTTCCCCCCAGAGCGGCCGGCTCAGCGGATGTACACGCCGCGCCCCCAGCCCTCCAGCTCGTTCTTGTTGCGGCCCAGCCCCGGGCCGCCGCCCTCGGCGCAGGAGCGGGCCTTGTTCCGGCCCCGGTTCCGGTTGTCAGTCAGCTCCTCCTGGTAGTCGTCCTCTTCGTCCTCCCAGGACCCCTGCCGAGCTGGCGGGGTGCTGCCCCCGGCGGGGTCTCCCAGCCCGGGCCCCTCGGAGGGGTCGGTCTCCATGTCCACGCACGAGTCTCCCAGCTCGGTGTAGGCAGAATTTCGGTTGCCGGAGGCGTCGGCATCGAACGTGTCTTGGCGGGACAGTGCCCGCACGGTGCCCGCCCGGCCTGGTGGGTGGCCGCCGGGGTACAGGCCTGGGGGCTGGCCCAGCTCCCCCGGGTACTCGTGCACGCTGGCATGCTCCCCCGTGGCCCGGTCCAGCGGCTGGTCCCCAGAAGCAAGGTAGGGTCCCTGGTTAGCAGACAGGCGGCACACACCATGCGGATCAGGCAGGGGTGAGAGAAACACAACAAGGCAAGACAGGTTAGTGATGGCACCCAGGCACCAGCCTGGCAGAGGGAGGAGGGGGCTGACTCCCTGCCAAGGACGCCCAACCTTCCCACGGCTGAGGAGGCCTGAATTCTCCCGGTTACCATGACACAGACCCCACGAACAATTAGTCATCGCCTCCTCCACACACGTCACTAATGCTGTTCGGGGGGGGGGGGGGGGTAAGTCGTCATTAACAGCTCATTAGTATCGCCACTCATTAGTGGTTGATCGGGTTAGTCATTGCTCCGGTTTTCCAGACGCACTTAGGGGATCTCTGCTCAAGCTCACGAACCCCAGCTCCTTCAGTCCAAACCAGACCCTAAGCAGAGGATGCTAGAACCCCACACTCCCTGACCCGAGTCAAATGACAGACTTCCTCCTCTGCCCCCAGCAAAGACTCAAAGCAGCAGGCGAGGGACAGCCGATGGGGCTCCATCCCCAGAGGAGGTGGCCCACTGCCCTCGTGGCCTGATGGCCACTCCCATCTCAGAGGCCTGGGCCCTGGTCCTGCCCCTTTAAGTTGGGTGATGACTTAAGCAAACAACTCCCCTGCCTGCGGCCCCGTTTCTCGGTGGTGGTGTGATGGAGATGAGAACAGCCGTCCCCAAACTGTTCCCCTGAGATCCGGGGTGGCATGGGAGGGCACAGAGTGCTTCAGGGGTCCCCGTGGAGGTGAAGTGGAGGCCACGCCACCAGCTCCCTCTGAGCGGAGCAAGGATGGCTGGCTTCCACATAAGATTCAGTGAACAAATTTGAAAAGCAATGGCCTGGAATGTTTTTGGGGTTTTTTCTGGCTCTAATCGAGAATCAAATGCGTAATGATGTGATCTCAGGGATGGGCCATGGCCCCACGGGAGGAGGGAGAGGCAGGGCAGGGCGCCCACAGGAAGCCTTTCCTGGGATCTGTTTAACTGGGAGAAGAATGGAAGGTTCAGCATCAATCACCAAAGATGCTACATTCTGGGTTCCTTCAGAGGGGCCTCCTGTGGTTAGGGCTCTCGGGAAGGGGAAAGTCGCTTTGGGTTTAAAGGCCCCTGCTGGCCCTGACCGGTTTGGCTCAGTGGATAGAGCATCAGCCTGCGGACTCAAGGGTCCCGGGTTCGATTCCGGTCAAGGGCATGTACCTTGGTTGCAGGCACATACCCACTGGGGAGTGTGCAGGAGGCAGCTGATTGATGTTTCTAACTCTCTATCCCTCTCCCTTCCTCTCTGTAAAAAGTCAATAAAATATATTTAAAGGCCCCTGCTTTGTGGAATTCCCTGTTCTGGGTCTACAATTCTGTGACCACTATTGAGTCTAAAATGGGCTTGGAGTCCAGTGAATGACTCTACCAGTCTTCTCCATGTTTTCTTCCTAATCATTTGACTTACAACCCCCCATCCCCCAAATCAGGCCTCACCCCCAAAAGCCCCCCAGGCAGCGGATGTAGTCCTAGGGGAACAGGCCCAAGGAGTGCCATCAGCCCGTCCCATCCCATACACAAACCACAGACACCAGAAGCTGCTGCTCACCACATTTTTTTTACAAAATGGAGCTCTTTCCTTCCTTCCCCATGATCCCTGTGCTCCAATTCCCAGCCGTGGGCAGGAGGGGAGATGTGGGGGGACGGGGTACCTACATGGCGTGCTCCTGCAGCTGGGGCACCGCCCCGGCCTGCTGTGCAGCCTCCAGCCCACCCCAGAAGCTGAGGTTTCTCCTGAGCGAGGTGAGCACCTGTACCTGGAGGTTGGAGACAGGGGCGGGGCTGGCGGCCAGGGCGGCGGAAGCCATGGTGCGGTTCAGCAGCGGGTTGGGCGGAGTGCTGCTGGGCGGGTGTGTGGCCTTCCAATAGGCTTCCAGGTATTCGGCCAAGTGCTCACAGGCGTCCTCCAATTGGTTCTCGTCCAGGATGATGTCAAACATTTCCTGTGGAGGCGGGGTTAGGGGGAAGGCCAGGATGAGCCAGGCATGACCTAGGGGTTGTGGGTGTGGCTTGGGCACAGTGGGCGGAGAGTCAAGGGGTTGAAGGACAAGGTCCAGGAAGAGAAGGGGGGCTCTCAGATGTGCACTGGCAGAACCACAAAGGGTCTTGGCACCCACACGGTCCAACTACCTCATTCTGGATTTGAGGCTTAGACGCCCCAAAGAGAAGTGGTACTTCTGGGGCTCGAAGCCAGTCTCTGACTGCGTGCCCAGCACTCCTTCCCAGAAGACCAGTGTGCACCCAACCCCGGTGTTCCTGGTCACTGTCTCCCACGCAGGCCAGAGGAAACCAGAATCCAAATGCCACCCCCCCGCCCCCCGGGGTCTGAGCACTCACAGGCGGACACTGCGCTAGCTTCTCCGAGGCCGCTATTTGCACATTGAGGTGTTTGGACTGAGACTTCCCTCGAGACTTGATGAGCCTCTGAAGTACCTGGTTTGGGGGGAGAAGAGGGAACCCCAGAAATGCACCAAGTCAGAGAGGCAGGTCCTGATTAAGGCTAGCGCGGAGAGCCAGTGTCAAGGCGAGGCCACCTCTTTAGCAATCACCTCACCAGCTCTGTCTCCACCCTGCACAATGCCCAGGCTCTCTCCTGGATCTCATGCCAACATGATCAATTCATTTAGTCCCGGCAATAATCCCATTAGGTGGCCACTGCCATGATTTTCACTCAATCATAATAATACCAATAGCTGAAACAGACCCAGAGCCTTAACTAAATGATCAAAGCTGACGTCACCAATGATGCAGCAAACCAATGTCATGTGCCTCGACGCAATGCAATCAGGAACGCATGGCTTTGGTGGAAACTGAAGATGGACTGCATTCTAGATAACTCTTCTTGGATTTGACAATTATACTGAGATTAATGCCCTTGTTCTTAAGCAATACATGGTGGAATAAAGGCATACAATACCTATAACCTACTATCAAATCGTTACGTGTACGTAATATATACATACATACATACATAAGATAAAGTAAATGTGGCAAAATGTTGAGAATGAACCAATCTGAAAAAAAATGAATTGCATACTTTAAATGGCTGAACTGAATGGTACATAAATTGTACCTCAATAAAGCTGTTAAAAATTAGCATATCCAAGTGAAGGGCGTTCAAAGCATGAGAGTTCTTTGGACTATTCTTGTAACTCTTCCATAAATAAAAATCTTTTTAAAAATAAAATACAGTGCTTAGTAGGTACCAGCCACTCTGCACGGTTAACCCATTTATTTGATCTTCACTATCACTACGTGAAGATCCCTATTTTACAAAGGAGGACACTGAGGCATAGAGAGGTCAGGTGACCTGCCAAAGGAGCACAGAGCTGGTGAGTGGCAGCACTGGGACACAAACCCAGGTGGTCTGGGGAATGGGCGAACTGGTACTTTCTGGATCACAAAGTGTTTTTGCGATTTCATTGGATCCTTTATCTTATTGGATCCTTTCATCTACTCCAGGAAGTACTTAGATCCATCATCCCCTTTCTGCTCATTAGAAAGTTAGGACTCAGAAAGGTTAAGTAACGGTACTCAGCTCCCAGGGTGCTCAGCTCCAGGGTGCCCTCATGAGGTAATAACAGTTACCACCTCTGGTTGCCATCATGAACTCTGGGCTCTCTCCGTCATTACCTCAAACCCTCTCAACAATCACACCAGGAGGGGTTCTAATCCCCATTCAACAGGTGAAGAAAGGAGATCAGAGGCCTCAATTTCAATAAAAAATAAAAACAAAAGCTGGGACCGGTTTGTCCCAGTGGATAGAGCGTCGGCCTGCGGACTGAAAGGTCCCGGGTTCGATTCCGGGCAAGGGCATGTACCTTGGTTACAGGCACATCCCCAGTGGGGGGTATGCAAGAGGCAGTTGATCGATGATTCTCTCTCATCGATGTTTCTAACTCTCTATCCCTCTCTCTTCCTCTCTGTGAAAAATCAATAAAAAAATAATTAAAAAAATAAAAACAAAAAAGCAACAAAATCTAATTCATAAGCCAACCACAGTCAGGATTTGAACCTCATGCTGTCTCTGACTTCAAATCCTTCACCTACACTTGCCCTCCATGCATCTCAACACCCCTCTTCCCCCACACTTGCCCTGCGTGTTCCTCCCGTTAACATCTAGGAGGTAAAGCTAATGGAGCCGCAATATGACGAAGAAGTGACTCCCACGGATTCCATCTCTATCAAGGCCCACGGAGGACAGAGCAGCAAAAAGGGCTGAAACCAAAAAGCAGGTAGGACCTCCCGCTGTCAAGCAGCTGGGTGACACCTGGGATAACATGCACAGAAGCCCAGTTTTCTGGATCAGGAGTGGGAGGTTAACCAGAGCGGAGATAGGGGACTGGCCTGCGTGACCCTAATGATAATATTTGTATTAAGATTTATAGAGTATAATTAGCTAATACATGATGAGCTCCATTATACCAGAACCTTTGCTAAGTCTTAAGTATTCCCATTAGGTTGAATCTCCACAATATCCATGCGATGGAGTTGTACAGAGCAGGGAAGTGAGGCTGGGGTGCTTAAGCCACATCGTTAGTAAGCAGCAGCTGGGATTTGCTCCGGCAGCCAGACTCCCGAGCGCGCCTGTCCCCTCTCGGGTCCGGCGTCTGCACCCACCTTGGGAGAGGTGATCTTGATGTAAACAATGATGGGGGCCAGTGAGGTCTTGGAGAGTTGGGCCGGGTGGTTGATGGTGTCGGCGTCCAGAGCAACCAGCTGAAGTGTCCGGGCCAGCTCGAAGATTCGCTCGATCTCGCTCTGAACCTCAGCTGGGGGTACACGGAGTCGTGGAGAAGGGGGAATGTAAGGGAGCCCCCCGGGAGGCAGTGGGTGGATAGAACACTTCTGGAGATGCCCCCTCTCCCTCTCTCCTCCCACATCTGGCTCCAGAAAGTCTGGTCCCAGAAAGCAGGGGCGGGGCATTCGGGGAGGGGCTCACCCAGACTGGAGCGTGTGTTGGAGCGCTCAATGATGATGTGTTTGCTGGGGTTGTTGAGGACTGAGCGCTTAGCCAGGGAAATGTCCGCTGTCACCCGAGTGATGGAGATCCTGGGATGGGGCAGAGGGAGGAGCCTGGGGTCAGGTGGGCTAGAAGGCCCTGCCTGCTCCCCAGGCTCGAGGCCTGTCACCCATCCCTCAGGCCAAGAGTCACAAATTACCATCCAGGCCATCGTGCCCATTGCCAGCAGCAGCGGCTGCAGGGGCCACGGAGACCTAGCACCCGGGGGCTTACCTGCCATCAAACCGATGCTTCAGGAAGTCAAACAAAGCTTTCTGCATCATGTCTGTGACCTGAGGGTGGGAGTCGGGGTGGGGGAGAAGTCAGGTGTTTAAAAAGCCACCACTCGGCAAGAGTGGGCTGCTGGGAAGATGCAGCTTCCCACTCCACTCTCTTCTTCAGCTCCTGACGTGAATGGGACCCTGGGGGTAGAGGAGTCTTCTGAGTCTAAGGAGCCTCCCATGTTCTTCTAGGTGGTGCCTCCGGAGGACCCTTCTGGGGAATTTGGGGGGAGGAACTCGACCCTCTGAGTGGGTCTCCCTGGGGTCATGCCCCTCTGGGAAATTTCTCTGAAGGCCTGTAGCCCTCTGGGGAAGACACCCGGGAACCTGGGCCCTTCGAAACCTCTGGGGTCTCTCTGAAGGCCTGGGCCCCTCTGGGACCACTCCCCTCCATGGGCTCCTACCTCATAGCCCTTGAGCGACGGTCCCACCAGGATGATGGGCCTCATGGAAGGCACCACGTCATAGGGGGGCACATGCTCTGTCTGGAGAGGAGGCAGGGAGGGGAAACCCCAGAGTGGAGATGCCATGAGCCCCTCTCCCCCAGCCTCCAGGCTCCCCATGCATCCGCTCCTCCCGCGGGCCCCAGGCCCAGATGTGGGGGATCAGGGTGAGGGTGGGGAGGGACGGCAGGGATGGAAGGGTGAGGAAATGGGGCAGATACGGGAATGGGTGTTAGATAACCCCCCTAGCTCATCCCAAAGGGTGGGGAGCGGGGACACAGAAAGCTGTGATACTCACCGATTTCTGCTTCTGTTTGGCTGGCTCCAGAGATTGCCAAGAGGGGTGGGAGAGGAGAGGGGGAGGAGGGAGAGTGGGGAGGGCACCCAGGCAGGGGCAGAGAGCGAGGAAGGAGCCAGGACAAGAGAGGGAGGGGGAGCGGGCAGACGAGGAGAGATAACAGGGCATGCGTGTTAGTGACAGACAGAGCCAGAGAGAGGGGACGGGACCCCATGCCAGGGGGAGCCGGAAGTGGCCTGGATCAGGGCTGGGGTGGGATTGTCAGTCCATCCGGGGGCCTCAGAATACTCAGACGTGCCAAGACCCTCTTTCTGGGTCTTGGACAAGAGCTGGGAAGGGTGACAGCCCCTAACTGGGTGCCCGCCTCTTGCCCTAGGACAGCCCACCTGCCCATTTTAAGAGTTCTCTTGACTGTCCTGCTCTGTAGCCAGTAGACCCCCAGGGAGTCCGAAAAGGGCATAGAAAGGTCACCATGCCACTCCCCATTCACATTGAGGGGAGGGGGCAAACTTGGGCGAGCACAGTGGTAGTGAGGGGAAAGGCCATTATCACCAGATTCTACTTCTGGTTGGGGGGTGGGGGGTGGCAGCTTTCCAAGGGAAGGGGTGCTTTGATGTCAGGAACGATCCCTTCCTGTGGAGTGTGCCCGGGCAGGGTTTTGTGGGGAGACAGACTCGCCTGACCTCTGTGCCATCCCTCCTCCCACCTCCTCCGCAGGCAGCCCCGATCCCCCAAAGAATCAGGCTGCCACCTCATCTGCACCCATCCCAGCCCCCTCATGATCTGGGCCCTGACCCCTCCCCTCTCACAAGAACCCCGCGAGGATTACCTTCTTGAAGAAGGAAATGCGCTTGCCGTGGGGTGATGGGGTGGTGACGCTGCTAACACTAGTCTTGGCGGAGCCGCCGGGCTCCCCAAGCTCAGCCTCCATGTCCTCTAACTCTAGGGGGTCTAGTTCAAACGCTAAGTTAGTCATTTCGTTACCTGGACCGACGGGCGAGTCAGGAGAGAGGAGAGGGAGGAGGGAGGCGAGGTGGGGAGGAGTGAGATGGACAGGGAGACACAGATACAGAACGCAGGGATGGGATGGGGGGAAAAAGAAAGAAGAAGAGGTGAATGGAACAGGGCTGGGAGGAATGAATGGGGGAAGGGGGAGGGCAGTCAGGCAGAGAAATGGAGCTCCCAAAGAAATGGGAGAGGAGAGGCATGAGAGGATGGGTGCTGCCTGGCCCAGCTCGTGGGGTGCCCTAATCTTCATGGAGAGGGGACCCCTGGAGGTGTGTGGAGGACTCAGGAACAGGGTACCCTCTCCTGCAGGGGAAGGAGGGGGAGGGCAGTGGGGAGACCACCCCACCCAGAAGCTCCCCATGACTCCCCGGGGGAGGAAGCAGCTCTTACCACTGGCAGGGGGTGTGGGGCGGCGGGTGCCAGTCACCACGTCTCCCAGACTGGAGCTGGAGTTGTCACCTGATTTGCTGTGTGGGTAGAGAGGCAAATGGAACTGTGAGCGAAGGGGTGGGTGTGAGGGTGGGGGGGATCTCGGTTCTCTCACATGCTGCCCTGCCCCCAAGATTCTCCAATCCCACTGGTGAGCCATAGGCAGCTCTGTGCCCTCAGGGCGACCCTGAGGCCAAGTCCTGGCGGGAGGCATGGCCTCTCGGGGGTTGGCAGTGCCCCGCCCCCCGCCACACACCTGGAGCTGAGGCGGTTCTGGCGCAGCTTCTGTTCCTGCAGCAGGCGCAGGCTGTCCAGTTTGACGGGGCTGGGGATGAAGCCCACCTCACAGCCCTCCTTCACCAGCCGCCCGATCCACCAGTCGTTGTTGTATTTCTGCAAACAGCGGCGGGTGGGGTAGGGAGAGACCGAGAGGGGGATTGGAGGTGCAAGCTAGCAGCCACCTTGCTTGGGGAATCTACCCTGCCCCAGGGGTGGCACCCTCAGAGAGCCCCACCCCCATGCTCAGGACAACTCTGGGACCAGCATCCTCTTGGGCCATGGAGCACCCTGCCCCCAGCACATCCCTGTTCTGAGTCCTCCTCCCCTATGTATCCGTCCTGCCCTGGAAAGGCGAGGAGAGAAGCAAACGCTGGCCACCTACATGAGCCTGGCAAGCTGCCGCTCCACTGACAGGCCTCATCGAGATCCTGCCCTACCACCCGGGGACCTAGGCATTACCACCCCGTTTCACCAGTGAAAGACTAGAGGCTCAGAGAGGTGGGAAGGTTTGTCTAAGGTTGCACAGTGGGCTCAGCCCAGCTCTGCTTGGCTCAGAAGTCTTTTCCCAGGACGGTTCCAGATGCCCCCTCCTGGTACCCACTGCCCTCCGGGCGCCAAGCGCTCTCTCCACCTCTTTGATGTGCAGGAAGTCCTTGGGCTCGAAGGTGATGGCCACTCCCTGCACAGGCACCTCATCCCCCGGAGACGGGTTGTAGCCGACATTGGTCCGAACAGCAAATGCCACCGGCTTGGTCTAGAGGAGGCGCAGGGGGGGGTGACAACCGGAGGGTTAGACCGTCACGTAAAAATGTGCAGCTTCTTGAGTGGGGGGGCCGTTATGTGGAGGGTTGTTTTATAAATGGTTCATTAAAAGGTATACCGAGCCGAAACCGGTTTGGCTCAATGGATAGAGCGTCGGCTTGGGGACTGAAGGGTCCCAGGTTCAATTCCGGTCAAGGGCATGTACCTTGGTTGCGGGCAGATCCCCACTAGGGGGTGTGCAAGAGGCAGCTGATCTATGACTCTCTCATCGATGTTTCTAACTATCTCTCTCCCTTCCTCTCTGTACAAAATCAATAAAGTATATTAAAAAAAAAAAAAAAAAAGGTATACCGAATGGCTTGGTAGGGTTTTTGCATATATGTTAATTTTCACAATTAAAAAGCAAAAATTAGCCCTCTCGGGGTGGGGGTGGGGGGAGACACTGGGGAGTGATAAGTATTAGGGGTGGGGGAAGCCCAGAATGACACCCAAAAGGAATAATAATAATAACAATAATAATGATTAGCATTTTATATAATAAAAGCAGAATATGCTAATTAGACCAGACAGCCTCTGAGTCAAACTTCCTGTGGCTGCGAGGGCTGAGCCCCTTGCTCGAACTTCGAGCATCAGGCCTCTAATAATAATAAGCTACTGTGCAATGTGCCGGGCACTGTGTCACACGTTTCACATGCATTCTCTCATTTATCTATCACAAAAACCCCAGGAAGTATTGTTATCGTCCTTTTGCTGAACGAGGAGACTAAAGTTCAGAAAGGTCACGTGACTTGCCTAGGATCATTGTACAGCCGGCTGGTAAGAGCAGCCCAGGAAGTGTGACTCCAGAAAGAAGGGTACATTGTTGGCACTTCTCAAACTCCCATTCCGTGAGGAAACAGCGTTAGACACATCATCCTGCATAAGCAGGCAGCATTGCAGCCCACGTTTTGTAGGGGAAAGACAAAGGCACACTGAGGCCATGGGTATACAGCTAGGAAGTGGCTGGGCCAAGACTTCACCATGGGTCTTTCTAGGCTGTCTCTGAAGCCTGGGACGGGGGAATGGGAAGGGGGGGAGAATAGGACAGCACAGTCCCTCCCTTCCTTCTCACCTTGGCTTTCTCAAGCTGGGCTAATGCCTGGCGCTCTGCCTCCTTCCTTAAGGCTTCCCGATCCTCCTCCAGAGACACGTCAGAGTCTGATGGGCGGCTGGTGTAGGACTCCGCGGAGCCCTGAAAAGACAGGGCCAGCTCAGGGCCAACACTGCCTCCCCAGCTCCTGGGCCTCAGAAGGCATGGAGATGCCACCCATCATGGATGCCTCAAGCCCCAGGCAGCCCAGCATGCTGCCACGGGGCTAGGAGAAGGTGGCATTAGAAGGGAGGAGTCAGGGACTGAGGTTTGCAGGCCACAGGAAAGATGTGGGCCTAGAAAGGGTGAGAGCAGCAAGCCAGGGGTAAGGCAGGTCCAAGGACAGCTGCTCGGGGCGGAACCTGATAGGGGCAGCGCAACAGAGGAGTGCCAGGGGACGAATCTCCCCTCCCTGCTCCTCACTCCGTCCCCTCCCCTCCCCTCAGCACCAGCGGAGACAGACTCAGCAGAAGCCCAGGGGCTCCTTCCAGGGACGGCAGCCACCAGCGTAGGCCTGAGCTGTCCGCACTGTTGGCAGTGGGCAGCCTGCTCAGCATGATGGGGCCACCCAAAACTCTGCTGTCTTGTGTTCAAGGGTGAAGGAAGACAGAATCCTACCTCCCCCATCAGAATCAGGGGAGCCCCAACTCTGCGGCTCTCAGAAGACAAAAAACAAAGTCCAAGATGCCTGAGATGGTGCAGGCAGCAGAGGCCAGTGAGGAGCAGAACCTGGGGCTGCAGCTGCCAGGGTTAAGGCCGGCTCAGATGTGTGTGTATGGGGGGGGGTGCCAGGAACACAGCAACCACCCCAGAGCATAACTCCTTCTGCGGTGCAGGCACATGTGTAAGACACAAACAGTCCAGACCCGCATGTGAACGAACACGCTTCCTCATGGGTGCGCTTGGATGTGCAACTTCAAGTCCATGCAGGAGGGTGTGTTCTATCGTATGTGCTGGATGTCATGACTGAGTGCAAGCAGGTACACATGAGCACATACAGGGGGCACCCTAGGGGCCAGTGTCCCTGAGGGTGTGCAGCCCCTGAGGGCGGAGCCAGGATGTATGGGTTTGTGTGTCTGAGCAGCGGTGCTGTCGCTACAGGGGGTGGAAGGTGGCGTTGGGAAGACCAGGACTGCGGAGATGTGTGTGTGGGGGGGGGGGCGGGGGGGCGGTTCTGGAGGGCAGGAAAGGGTCACTTGGCCAGAAATCCCCATGAGCTTGGTCCGGAGGGGACCTGAGAAGGAGAGAAGACACAGGTCCACCTCCCTCAGAGGGCCCTGGGCATTCGCTATGCAGGTGTCCATCCTTTCCCAGCCAAAGCACGAAAATGGGAGGCTGGTGAGGCGACAGGTTGGAGGTGGGGGTGAGGTCACTAACGGAGGCTGGAGAAGAGACGTGAAGGAAGGAACGTGGAAACCAGCCCGACTCCCACTCTTCACCCCTCCCGGCGGGAGCCCTCAGCATCCGGGAGACAGAGGCACAGAGAGCCGGAGACACAGACCCAGAGAGCACGACAGAGAGGCACTCACTGACCGGCACACACATGCACACGCGCTCATACACATGCATGCACACAGACACGGCAGGAATGGCAGGGGACAGGGAAACAGCGAGGAGGCAGAGAGGCAGGCTAGCGTGAAGCCCCCTTCGCCAGCTTCCCACCCCGCCCCCCGGCCCCAGCTCACCACCACGAGGGTCCGGCTGGGCGCCTCCATATCAGCGCCCTCAGTGCCCGGCCCTGCTGGCCTAGGAGGTGCCCAAACTGCCCGTCCCCCCCGGGGGCTCAGGTTACAAGCAGAGTTGCTACATGTGCAAACTGCTGGGGTATATTTAGCTCAGAGATGTGGCAAGGACTGCCCCCCCCCACTCCCTGCCACCTACTGGGGGTCAGGACTAGGGAGAGGAGAGGGGAGAGGATGAGAGGGGTGATCACTGGGGTCTGATGACCTGGGTGACCAAACACTGAGGGAACCACGTCCTTTTCCTGTCCAGAGGGTTTTACACTGAGAGCCAGCATCGTTCTTCCTAGCCCGGTCCTAGCCCAGTCCCGCAACAGGAGGGATGGAGGAGAGACTGAAGGAGGGACTTCCTGTGTATGTACATAAGCGATGCTGGGATGAAGGGTGCCTTCCTGGGCTCCCTGGGCCCAGTGCTGGGGAAACAGGCAGCAGAAAGAAGGGCCGCACTCCCGTCTGTGTGGTACCATCTGCCTGGTACCCTCCTCCGTCTCCCGGTCCAAGAGGGGGCAAGACCTCCACAGGGCTCTTCCTCCCAAAGACCCCTGCCCGCCTGTGCCCCGCCCACTTCCTCTGCAACCTCTTCCTTTTCCTGGTCTGATCTCCAACCCCTCTCCCTTTTTTTGGTTGAGATGCTCCGTAGTCATAGCAACCACATGCTTCTCCCTGAGCCTGAGACGGCCGGGGGTTGAGACTTAGAACAGAGACGAGAACGGCATCTTCCTGACTGAGCACAGGAGACCCCGGAAAGCTGTTCAGTGGCCCAACCTTCGGTCAGAGGCCTACAGTCTTCCCTAAAATCAACCCCCTCCTGCCGGGACCCCACCCCCTCCAGCGCGTCCTCTCTGCGTATTGAAGATCGGTCACCTCTGGACATGGGGAGCCTTTCCCTGACCTACTCCAAAGCCAGGGCTCCAGGGACTCAAGTGTCCTGGCTCCTTGTTGCTCAGGACTCGCCTCTCCCCAACGCTGTCAGATCCCGGGGGAGGCCGTGGAAGCAGACAGCCGGCAGGGGGAGTGGGTGCCAGCCTGAAGCGAGCTAGGAGGAGGCGAGCCAGGCTGTCCCTGAATGAGATGACGCAGGCAGGCCACAGGGGCTGGTGCCCGGGGCTGGGGGAGGGGTGGGCGGGGGCCGAGGGCGTGGTCACAGCTGACAGCACAGGCAGGAGAGGTCATGGGGTGTCAGCGCGATGGGTGGCTCCAGGCAGGCGACAAATGGCATGGGGGAGGGTGCCTGGAGGAAGCCTCAGGCCCGGCTTTGGTGAGCCAGGCTCCAGCAGCCAGCCCCCTCCCTGCTCCTGGCCCCCATCCCCGTTACCTGGCGTACAAAGCTGTTGGATGTCGTATCCGAGGACGTGCTCCCATCCGACCTTTTGAACCGGCCTTTCCTCTTGCTGTACTTGCCCTGCAGGAGCCGGGAAGGGACGAGAGTGGGATCAGAAAGGCCCTTTCCCAACCCTTACCCTATGGGGCCACAGCTACAGCGAAGCCTTGGAAACAGCATTCCCTGGTCTGAGCAGCCCCCCATATTCTTCCGGAGATGGTACAGCCCGAGGGGAGGGAGGGCCCAGACCACAGCCATGGGTGGGGGGCACAGTGCCAGAGAGCCCCAGGAAGTGCACACAGAACCCCCCAAACTGAGCCAGGGAGGCTGGGAGGGGGAGGCGAGGAGCTGGAGGCTCGTTAGGCAGAAAGCTAATTAAGATGCTGGGCGGCTGCAGCGGCCTGAGGGGAGGGGAGGCCGCCCCGCAGCCTGGGGGCGGGGGGGTGGTGGAGAAACCTGGGGGAGAGTCCCTCTCCTGCGCCCCCTCCAGCGGAGGGGAGGAGGGCTGAGTGTGTCCGTGGTCCCTCGAGAGACCAGGAACTGCCAAGTGCCAACAGGGCCCCACTTGGCTTTTCTTGGGCCCTCCTCCTGCTTTCCTTTTTTGCAGAGTGGGATGGGGAGGGGCTGCTCTCAGCTCTAGGAGACCCCCAACTAGGTTTTCGGGGAGCGGGAGAGGCATGTGGTAAGTAAACATCTAACCCGGCCACTGCCGTCGGGCATATTGGAGCTCACACCCCCTACCCTGGCAGGAGTTTTTCTCAGGCCTCTCCTCACCATCACAGCGGTCACACCGCTCCCCAGAGGGGCGAGAGGGATCAAGGACCCTCCCACTCACCCCCAGCTGCCACCGCCAGCATCCCATCCCCATGGTCCCCACCAGGCTGCATCAGTCTGAATGCCCCTTGGCCCTGCCCAAGAGGAGCCCAGGACACAGCCCCACAAGCCCCCGGGGAGACTGGCTCGGCCTCACTGCCGAGGCTCCTGGCTTGGCTGGAGTGGGCACTGCCCGAGCACGCAAGCAGCCGCACACCCGGCTATTTCTTTGCCCTCCCCAACTCACCCACACACACTGACCCCAGGCCAGTCGGGGGGGAGGGGAGGGGGAGGTTTAGGCCCTCCAAGCCCGTGCCCCCAGCCCGCATCCTAGTTTCTTTTGCAGAGAAGGTACTAAGCCATGACCAGACTGGGAGCTCCATCCTCCCCCTGATACTTGGGCCTAGGTACCAGGAGGAGGATGGACAGATGGGCAAGAAGGGCGCCTGGGAACCCCAGAACCTCTCTTTAAATCAGACACACACCCTGCCTCTGACCAGGGATCCCGACTGACTTAAGAGGATCGCCCAGGAAGCTCGGACTCTCTCTCCCCCCACCCCCCGGCCGGGAAAAGGGAGTGGCACCAGCGGACGAGGGACAGCTGGAAGAAAGGCCCGGCAGCTGCCTCGCAGGCTCCGAGGGGCCTGGGGTGGGGAAGGAAGGTATTTTTAGGCCTGACCTGGCCCCCGCCGCGCACACATGCAGATTAGCCACGTTATCATGGCGGTTCCAGTTGCTGCACTCGGGCAGCACACGGCCAGAAAAGAGTTAATGCTCTCCCAGCCTTGGGGTGTTGCCAGGTTAGAGAAGGACATGCCCCAGAGAAACCAGCCCAGACCTTGCCAGTCACTCCATGGGCACCCACCACCCCGAGAATGCCCCTTCCTCGGAGTAAGCCGTGGACACAGTTCGGTGGATTTGGGGGGGGGGGGGGGAGAGGAGACGGGGCAGCAGATCTCCTCCCCCAGGTAACAGCCTCTTCCCCTCCAGGACAGTGAGTTGGCATCCATCCAACTTTCCAAACTTTGGAGGCATTTTTCCGGGGTGAGGGGGGAGGGGAGGGTTGGCAGAGAAGGGAGACGTGGGTGTTGGGGTCGAGGAGCCGGTCCACTGTAGGGGTGTCGCTGACGTGGCCGGTATGGGGAGCCTGGCCCCTTCCCCACGCTGAGGGCCACTGTCTGCGGCTCCCAAGGCCTTGCTGGCGCCGCCCTCCCACTAGCGGCTCGGCCATCTCCCAGGCCACCCCCGCCCCACCCACCCCGCCAGCGCCCAGAGCGTGCCCGGCGTCGCCCCTCTGCCTGAGCTCGCTCTCCAGCCTCCCTCCACCCCGGGACCCCCCCTCCCACACCCCCATCCTCAACCCACTGGGACCTGTACCCGAGCAGCAGGGACCCGAGGGAGCGGGGGTGACAGGCGCCCCGACCGCCGCCTCCTCCGGCTCCGCAAAACCGCAGCCCGGTTCCGGGCCAAGCGCCCATCAATCACGAACCCGCAGGCACCGGGGCTCCCCTCCCCCGAGCAGGCGCCCCTCTCCCCTCCGCGCCCGGCTTCTAACCCTCTCCTCCCCGGCTCCCTCCGGCCACCCCCCGGGGTCCCCGGAGCGGCCCTGCCCCTGCCCCTGCCCCGCCGCCGCGCCTCACCTGCGGGCTGGGGTCGAAGACCTCCATGGGGATCTCCTGGGAGGGAGGGTACGGGCCCCGCGACATGCTGGTCTTCTGGACCATGGAGAGGGGCCTCCGCTCCGGCCGCCCGCCCGGCCCCGCCGGGCGCCCTCAGCGCGCGAGAGGCCGGCGGCACCGGATCCAGCCACCTGGCCCTGCCCGCGGCCGCCCTGCCTGCCTGCCTGCCGGCCCTCCCTCCGCCGCCTCCCCCGCCCCGGAGGCTCCGCATCTCCCCCCGCCCGCCGCTCCCGCCTCCGCCGCGGCCCCGCCCCCGAGCCCCTCCGCGGGCGCCGCGCACGGACAATGGGAGGCGGCGGGAGCGGAGCGCCCCTCCTGGCCCCGGCCCGGCCCGGGGTGCAGGCGGCCCCGCTGCGGGCAGGGGTGGGGGCGGGGGGAGAGACTCGCCTGCGGGTTGGGGGCCGGGGTGGCGGTTTACCGGCGATGCCAAGCGCTAACGGAGGTGTAACGCGGCTTAGCTTGGCTGGCACCGCGCCCCCCCCCCGCTTCCGTCCCAAACCGGTCTTCCTAGCTGGTCTCCCCACTCCAGCTTGGGCCCCCGGGACTTCTGGGTCCCAGGGACCCGGCTTTAACTGCTTTCTCCCCTGGGGGAGCCCAGGCCCCCTAGACCCAAACAGAAAGTCCCCTCCCGCCTCTGACTATGGGCTGGCCGGCGGAGGGCTGAGGCTGGAGTGGGGAGGGTGTCCAAAGGGAGTCCCAGCAGACCCCAAGAAATCCAGGGACCCAGGGGTCCTTCTGTCTTAGTTGCTAGTACCCCCAGGCCCTTCCAAAAGGCAGGGATTGGGGCTGGGGGAGGTCCGGGTACTTGGGAAGAGAGAAGAAAAGGGAAGAAGAAAGGAGCTAAGAGGAGAAACCGGCTGAAATCAGATCGAATGACCATTGACCTAGGATTGCTCCCTCTTCATCCTTATTTGGGGACAAATAGCCAAGGCCTGGACCCCACTTACCACGCATGATCTTCGGAGAGAAAAGGCCTAGGGGATTCTGGCAAGAGACCTTGGTGCCAATTTGGCCCGGGCTTTTTCTGGTCATGTGGCCCTGGACACATCACTACACCTTTTCTGTAAAATGGGGTATCTTTGTCGCCTGGGGTTGTTGGGAGGATGAGGGAAATTGAAATGAAATGACTGATTCCTGGGGCCTTTGGAGATGTTGAAAGGAGCAGTGTAGGGGTCAGTCATGACAGGAGGACCTGTTATCTCCCTAATCTACCCCTCCGCTGTCCCACAAAGAGGAGAGGTGAGAAGTAGAATGGAGATTTGCCCAGGTTTAGTGACCCTAATATAAGGCCGGCCTGCAACAGGTAGATGGCCAGCCTAAGTTGTTTTTCTGATCACATCACTTTGAGAGACATTGCAGCTGAAACCTGCGAGCAGATCCAGTCCCGAGCAAGATCCCCACCTGCGATTGGGCACGAGAAAGCCTGGCATGACAGAGGCATGGGATTTTCAGTCACAAAGACCCGGACTTTCCATTTCTGTTACCTCACTTAGCTGTAACACGACAATGACACTAATTGTGTTGTGAGGAAGCGGCATACATTTTGCTCCTCTTTCTCCCTTTTTGACCTGAGCCCTGATTAGCAGGGAGAAAAATTCCGCTAGAGATGCGGTAATCAGGTGGAGCCAGCACTCAAATCGAGGTTTCTTGGATTCCAGAATATTCTCCTCAGGTTTTTGCACTGGGTACGCCAGACCAGGAGGGAAGAACTTTGGGTTGTGTGGTCATTCGATTTTTTTTTTTTTTAACTTTCACAACTACGCACTCACTCAGCCAAAATACAATTTCTCTAGTGTGTTTACTAAGCTCTAAAGCTGCTGTAGTGCCGTGTAAGCCAAACAAGTTTCCTACTACCAAGGAGCTGTCTTAAAGCTTCCCTTTGCAAGTTGCAAACATTAACTTACGTGATTTTCACAACTGGGTTACGGAAATGTTACACTGGAGAAAGCTGAGGCACTAAGATTAAGAACCACAGGGATGCAAAAACAAGATGTCTATTCTGCACTCCAGGGGCTCCCGATCTACTGAGAAAACGAATAAGATGGTGGCGCCTGCCTGATTTCTGCCCTATTATTTTCTTCCGCTTCATTCCCTAATGTTTTTCACCCGCTAATAAAACATCTTCCCAGAGAATACAGGATGCTTGCAAGGACTGGGCCACTCTAGCAAACTCGCCTACTGCGCCTGCGCGATCCAGCTGACATCCGGCTCCCACTAACCACGTGATCCCGCACCCTTACTGCGCGTGCCCAGTAGGAAGTCGGACTATACCATTTTGCCTTACCAAAGGGGTGTGTTTTCTATGTTTTTAAGTTTAAAACGATTCCTGATGTTACGCTTCTTACTATCTCGGGTATGTACACGCGATATAAGTAAGTTTAGGATGGCGGAAGGTGAAAGGACAAGAGGGGAACGCGGATGAAAGCGGAGCGGGGGGTGCCCTCTCCCCTTCGCAGATAATGGGAGGAGCCGGGCCGCGGTGAGTCTTTCCTTTCGCCGCTGCGGCAGCAGCCATGAGGTGAGGGCGCGCGGGGCTCCGGCCGGGGTGCATCCCGGCTGCCGGGGGGCGGCGGGGCTCGGTCCGTGGCCCCCGATGGGAGACGGGAGGGGGAGGCAGCCTGACGCGGCGGGCCCCGGAGTTTGGGGGAGGCCGGAGCACCTTAGGCCCCGGCCTGGAGAGGAGTAGGGTGGCGGGGCGTCCCGAGAACTTTAGGCCGCGGAAGGCGGGGCGACCCACGCGGGCCGAGGGAAGGCAGCGGCGGTGACGAGGCCCGGGCCTCCGTGCTCGCGGGGCGCTCCCGGATCCCAGCCCATCTCCGCCTCTGTGGTTAGGGCTCAGGCCTTCGGCTGCCCAGAGGGCCGAACCCTAACTCCTCCCGCAGACCGCTCACAGGAGCACTCTGAGGCCGGCTGGACTTCCCTCTTACTGTGAGGAGACGAAGGAAACAAAGGGCCAAAGTAGCAAACCAGGTCTACTGGCCACGGATTCTTCACGCTAAACACTGGTTTTTAGAGCCGAACCCCAGAACGGGCATAAGCCTAGTTTGAGTCGTTCTCATTTCCCAGAGGAGAGATGCTATAGGAGAGAATGCTATAGGAAAGATCCGGGAGGTGATGGCGTGGCTGGCAAAAGTCTTAGTGGAGGGGGGGCGTGTGTGCCCCTGACACTGGTGTGTGCGTGCACATCCACTTCCCCGTGTTCTGTTTCACCACCTTGGAAGACTGAGGGGCCGGTGTGCTGGGGAATCTTTCCTTCCTAGCAGAGGCTCCCAGGGCCTGACTGTTTCTGTCTTCGCAGTATGCTCAGGCTTCAGAAGAGGCTGGCCTCCAGCGTCCTCCGCTGTGGCAAAAAGAAGGTCTGGTTGGACCCCAATGAGACCAACGAAATCGCCAATGCCAACTCCCGTGAGTTCTTGGGTCTATGTTCCTTCTTCGCCCTACCCCTTCACGAGATGGAAGATGATGACACAGTTGTGTTGACTTTATAGTCTGCGAGGTCATATAAAAGGAGGGATGCCAGAGTTCTTATTTCTGCCATTTGCCAAAAGGGCAGGATAGAAATTAATGGACAGACTGTTCATAGAAAAAAAAAATTCTTTTAATCAAAAAGTAAATAAAAGAGCTAGGATTTCGTCTTAGCTCTTCCTAGGAGGGGAAAAAAACAAACGCAAGTTGATGGAACCACCAGTGTAATATTAATTACTATTCTAGAGTGGATACTCAGTCTTATAGCTCTGTGAAGGCATTCTGGGGTAGAAATGACTTAGGAAATAATGATGTGGGAAGACCTGGGGCCTCAGATGCAGGAGAGCCTGTTGGCATATTTAAGGCAAATAGGTGTCAATCCTACAGAGAGCATCCATCATACCACAACACTTCCATGTAATATTACAGGAAAGAAATAAAATTATATGATAATATTAAGGCAGGCTTCATTTGGGATCATTGTGATAGGTACAGGAACCACTGCAAGTGGGCTTTTACAGGCTGGGAGGGAGATTGGGCTTAAATCCAAATACAGCGTGAGCAGGTAGAGTTTATAGCTAAGGGTGAGTGGATGGAAAGTTTCCAAGAGGAAGTGGGGGTAACGGGTTTTGGTTAAATGGACCTCGCAGGGTTCTTACTGAAGACGGGCCAGGATGGTGCCACCTGGGCAATGGTGGTGGATATTTTGAGAACGCTACAAATTCCTAAAAGTGGAGGGAGTTTTGAGATCACTGGGCTGGGGATGTACACTGTGTCTAGGGCCTGTCCTATTAAAACTCTGGGTTAAGACTTGTATTGAAGCGAGGCCCTATCTGACTGACCAGGTACTTCATGTTTTTCCAGGGCAGCAGATTCGGAAGCTGATCAAAGATGGGCTGATCATCCGCAAGCCTGTGACTGTCCACTCCCGGGCTCGATGCCGGAAAAACACCTTGGCCCGCAGGAAGGGCCGGCATATGGGCATCGGTTAGTGCATTCTTCCTCTAAGACTTAAGATGATTTAAGTCTAGACTGAAATATATTTAGGATTTTTTTCTTCCCAGTCTGTCTAATCTTGAGCCCTTTTCTTACTCTGATAGTTGATGTGCTTTCTCTGTGCAAATCAGAAAGTTGGCACTGGTGTTGAAATTGAAAGTACAGTATTGGTAGAAAGGTCACATTTCTTGAGCACCTACCCTATGCCAAGGATTCTCCTTGGTACTTGAAGATGTCCAATAAATTCTAAAACCACTTTCAAAGATCAGGAAATTTTAGGGAGATGAAGGTCACACCACCTTTAAAGCTTACCATGCTGCCTTGGTGTGTGCCCATCCTATCTGCATTCTGTGCAAGGCATGGGGGGGAAGAATTGCCTTGTTTGTTCTTCCTTTAAAATTTAATAAGTGAAAGAAATAAAATATTTGGGGTCATCTGTAAAATGGGAACATTACTTAAAATGATATAAAGCACTTGGCACATGACCTAGTTGATAAAGGGTTTTCACAAGTTGGTAGCTGCCATGACCAATCAGCTGGCTTGAATTAACTCCTTTGAGATCTAAGTGCAGGAGAGTGGACCTAACTCATCTTCTCCACAGGTAAGCGAAAGGGTACTGCCAATGCTCGAATGCCTGAGAAAGTAACCTGGATGAGGAGGATGAGAATTCTTCGCCGGCTACTCAGAAGATACCGGGAATCGAAGAAGATTGACCGCCACATGTAAGCACGTCTTTCTCTTGGGCCCGCCAAGACCTATTTGCTTTATTGAAGGCTTGTTCTTTGTGCAGACATGGTTCTATCATTGGCCTTGGCGAGGGAGCTATGTGTGTTGAGTAAGCTTAGGAAATTCTTCCATTCTGTCCTGTTTTGTGTGTGTGTGTGTGTGTTTTTACTTGTTGATTTTAGAGGGGGCTGGGGAACGGACATCCATGTGTTCCACTTAGTTATATATCGATTGGTTGAGCTCTATATGTGCCCTGATTGGGGATGAGTATTGAACCCGCAACCTTGGCTTATGGGAGCAACACTAGCCAACTGAACATCTCTGCCAGGGCTAGCTGTTTTTCTTCCCATCCCACCCCCAAACATCATCAGGAAAGTCAAAGTATTGAATTATCTGCCAGACAAGCTCTTCTGGCCAGAAAGTTTTGGTTTTAGGGAAAGTTCATCAGCAATAGAAGAGAGGAAAGGAACCCTACACGCTTTAGGGACTTGGTGTGGAGGGGCCAACTCTGATCCCATCACTGGCTAGAACCTCTGCTCCCTGCATCCTGCAGGTACCACAGCCTGTACCTCAAGGTGAAGGGTAACGTGTTCAAAAACAAGCGGATTCTCATGGAACACATCCACAAGCTGAAGGCAGACAAGGCTCGCAAGAAGCTTCTGGCGTAAGTTTCTTCAGGAATTGGCCTCTGTTATGGGGCAGCTTCTTTGACTTTTATCATCAAGTGTTCCTCTGAGTCATGGGGTAAGGACTGTAGGTTAGTTGAAGTGGGAGTTCTTGATAGCCAGGTGTTCAGAGAGGGAGGTCTGGGCATGCGCTGCCATCTCCCAGCAGCCTCTGTTCTCAAACTGACCCATCTTCTCTTCCATTGCTCAGTGACCAGGCCGAGGCCCGCAGGTCTAAGACCAAGGAGGCCCGCAAGCGCCGGGAAGAGCGGCTCCAGGCCAAGAAGGAGGAGATCATCAAGACTCTGTCCAAGGAGGAAGAGACCAAGAAGTAAAGCTTCCCCTCTCTTACCTGTACATAGTGGCCTTGGCGGTTACATGGTTCGGTCATTTAATAAAAGTAGCCTTCATCTACCTCTCTGCTTCTTCCAAAGTTACTGATTGCGGGTTTTCACTTATGTATTTATTTAGAGAGGGAGGGAGAAACATTGATTTGTTCCCCTTATTTATGCCTTGAGTGGTTGATTCTTGTATATGCCCTGATGGGCTTGAACCCAAAACCTTGGTATATCAGGACAACACTAACCAACTGAGCTAGCTGGCCAGGGCGGGTCTTCACTATTCAGAGGGCAGAATGAGCACGCTGAGGACAGATACAGGCCCTTCCTGGATCCCTGTTTCATTTCTTGACCTCTCCACCCATGATAGAGGGGATTTGTGTGTGTTACCTTGTTTAGTGGGGTGCAGGCCTGCTTTGCAGGGAGGGAAGGAATGGCTTCTACCCAAAATACTGTGCTTCAGTTTTTGGGCTTTTGGGGGGAGGGGCTCAGACCCATCACATAGAGGATAAAGAAAAGGCTTTTCTCAGAAATTGGAAAAAAGGCACATGCCACAAAAGTTTGTCAGCCATTGCTAGTGACTTTGTAGCCCCCTTCACAAATAGGAAGTTTTATTTTGCAACTGTTACTGGGAGCAGTAACTGCCAGTTTTACAATAAAATGTCTGCTCTGAGAGCCCAGTACTTTGACATTCATTCTAGTCTTGGCAACATTGTAAGGTAGGATTATTACTGTCTGTCTTGCAGACATTTGGATTCACACACAAAAAGCTAATGTAGTGTTGGGGTAGAAAAGTGGACTCAAGATATTTGGTAGTGAAATGGCTTTGTGGATATAGTGGGGGCTGAGGAAGAAGTCAGGGTTGTCCCAAAGTCTTAAGCTTTGGAGGACTCAGCAGTGATTAGAAGGAACCAGTTGAGGTGGGGAGAAGGGCCAGAAGAGTGAGCTTTAGATTCATTGAGTGGGTGGCAGTTTGAGGGACAGATGTCCAGGGGGTCAGTCAGCCATTAATACAGGAATGCCAACTCAGATGAGGAAGATACCTGGGTTGGGAGCAAGGTTGCATAGAAGGGGCCGCCTCCTTTATATGGACACAGCGAGGACTGATGTCCTAGATGTAGGTAGTTAACCTCCCTGCCCTCCACCCCTCTCCTGAGGAATTTTTGCTTTTCTGGAAGCAATACAAAGCCAATTGGCCTTCAGGGGATGTACTTGGCAGATGTTCTCATCTGCACTTGGAAAAGGCAGGGCTAAAGTGGTCATGGGGACAGCAGGCCCCTCTCCAGCTCTGCCTCGGCTGTCCTTGTCCAGTCTGGACCAGATGGGGAAGTGGGCGGCCCATGGCAGGGAAGCCCAGGTTCGATGACAAATGTCCAGAGGACCTCACCACCCTCGTGCTTCAGAGCCAGGGACGAGAGCACTGATTTGACGGTTCCCTGATGCCACTGTGGCAGCCTGTATACACTTAGTTTTTTAGCTCTTGCTCTAGTTCTTTGTCATCCCGAGTGGGGAAGCTGTAGCCTAGAAGGGGCAGGGCCTTGGACAAGCTCTCAGCTTGGGGTATGGGGCCCCCTCCCAGTCATGGACCAGAGGAGGAAGGCCATGGGAGGCCCCTCCACCTCCACTCCCCTCAGGCAGCTGAGGAGAGACCGGAAGGAGGATACATGGCAGCCACACCTGGGCTCCTGCTTGCAGCACAGAAACCGGCTTCCACTCTGGACCAGGAGATGGCGCTGTTCTCTCACAGGTGGTGGCAGAAAACTGCCTCACATTTTGGGTTGTGGGGAGGATTGGCCTGGCGGGAAGGGTCATGGGTTGTGGGAACCTATCTCTTGGGAAGCTTTGGGTTTAGTTACTTCCCTTTTTCCTTTTTTATTGAATTTTTTTGGGGTGACACTGGTTAACAAAATTATATAGGTTTCAGGTGCACAATTCTACAACACATCATTTGTACACTGTAATTGTGTGTTCACCGCCCCAAGTCAACTCTCTTTCCATCACCATTTACCCCCCCTATACCATCCTCCACAACCCAACCTCTAGTTCCTTCCTTCTGAAGCTCACCCCAGCCTGGAAAGTGACCTCTTCCCACAGGGGCCTCTAACCCCCTCCCACAGCCGTGCTTGGGAAGGCCCTTCAGCAAGCAGATCCCCTGAAGTTACCTGGATCTCTTTTAGGTATGGAAACTTATGAAAGTATATGTCCATTCTCTCAAGCATATGCAGTTGGTCCCCTTATATCATCTGCGTACCCTTTAAAGGGGTTCACTAGCCCCAGGTAAAAATTCCCTGAGCAATTCCAGCTCCGTTTCAGGGGGGCCAGCGGCTCCCCAGAATCTCAGCGTTGCATGAACACGAGCACCCATCTTTGACTCCAGGCGTGGGAGGGTGTGACTCAGAGCGGGCGGCGGCAGAGGTACTGCGCACAGTGGCGGCTGCAGAGCCACGAGCTGGAAAAGGGGTGTGGGTCCCTGGCCCTCTTCCCAGTGCTCTCTCTGAGGCTGAGAGGGGACCCCCCCAGGCCGGCTCCCTGCAAGCACTGGGAGGGCTGAGGCCGCCTGCCGTCTTGTCTTCCTGGCACTCCTCAGCAGGTGTCCCAAGCACTGGGAGAGGCGGCTATGGGGAGGGAGGGGAGTGAAGGCTGAAGGGACCAAAGGGAGTGGCTGGTGCTGGCAGAATGGGTGGCATTGGACAGAGGCTCCCTCTGGTATCCATCTCCCTACCCTCTCAGGCCTCTCCTGTCTCGGGCTCCTCCCAGCCTTCCCCTCTTTTTCGCGTCTCTCCTAAGCCCAGATAACCTTTACCCCACACAGTTAGACTCAGGCTGAGGTGGGAGGACGGAGGGCATGTGTGGGTCAGGCACCAGAGCCAAACGGTGGGTTGGCACTGCCAGCAGTTTCCTGGGCTTGCTCTGTCCCAGGCCTACGGTGCTGCTGGTCCAGCCACCCACTGAGTGGGCACAGAGGAAGGCAGAGGCTACGGCGAGGGCACCAGCTGTTCCCAGCCCTCAGGCTGTGAGCCTGCTGTCAGCGGCTCAGCCACCCGAAAAAGCTGTTGTGCTCAGCAGTGCGGCAAATGGGCTGGGGAGGAGGCCCGGGTCCAGGCCAGCTGCCGGCTGGTGGCAGATGGGAGCGGAGCGTGCAGGAGGGTTGTCTGAAAGGCTCTCATTGTCTCCAGTGGAGTAGGGTCTGGATCCCTCGGGCCCCTGGCCCGGCATCTGGGGGTGTCTCTGCTTCCATCCTGCTGGTTGAAGGCACCAAGAGACCCAGGGCCCCGTGGGAGAGGCACTGACTGGCAAGAGATACCATTTCTCAGTGGCTTGACCACTATTTTGCTGGGTGACCTTGGGCATGTTACTAGTCCCTCTGGGCCTCAGTTTCCCCAGGTTCACAAGGGACCCGGGGGAGCAGGATAATCCTTAGGACCTTGGGTAAGCCACCGGACACCTCAGGGTCTCCCCTTCCCCGCCTGTGAAAGGGGATGCCACCTCCTTCCTCATCGGGTCATTGGGAAGATTAAATAAAATTAAATAAAATTAAGATCCTGGCTTGGTACCGCCGCGGTGCCTGTTGTGTGAGTTGCTCTCTCTTTAAGCCTTTGGACTGGATCTGTGACCCCTTTTTTCCTCTCCCACCATCAGGGGTCTGCCTCCCCCTTCATCCCAACCAGCCCTGCGGCCTTCCTTGGGGGAAGGGCCCAAAGACAGATCAGGGCCCGGTCCCACCTGACCTACCTTGCCTGGGGGGCGGGGCAGGAAAACAGACCCGGGGTATGCCTCCGGGGAGGAGCAGTCCCCCGCCCCCTGCCCCGCAGCACCCCGGGACCCGGCACCCCCACAGCCCGCCCCCCGCTGCTCCGGCCCCCCTCCGCCTATAAATAGCGGGGACGCGCTCCGGTGACGCGCCGCCCGCGGGGCAGGGAGGGGGGACGGGGAGGGGCCGCGCTTCTGCCGGAGCAGGTGGGCGGGGAGCTTCGTGCCCGGCGCCCGACTGAGTCATCCCGGCCCCGCTGGCCCGACTGTCCCGCCGCCAACGTGCTGCGTCGGACCCGGGAGGCTGCGGGGCGAGGCTGGTCTCGGGGGGCGGGGGTGAGAGGGGGGACATTGTACCCCGCAGGCCCGGGTCCTGGGGGTCCCCGCTGGGTGGGCGAGGAGCGTCCGGACGCGGGGAGGTGTGTACCTGCGGCCTGCGCGACCCCGGTGCGGGGAACCAGCCAGTGGCCGCAGCCCCCGCCCCCTGCCACTCCCCTCTAGCACCCCACAAACCTGGTCCCCCCCTTCGGTCCTTTCCACCTTCTCCGCTTTGACTCCCCCCAGCCCCTGCTCTCCACACCTCCCAGACCCCAAGTCTCTGGCTGCTCCAGCGGAAGGGAATGAAGAGGCTTGGGGACCCCTCCAGTGTCATCCTCAACACCCCAATGCCAGCCTCAACACCCCATTGTCAGCCTCAACACCCCAATGCCAGCCTCAACACCCCATTGTCAGCCTCAACACCCCAATGCCAGCCTCAGCACCCCTCCCAGAGATCAACACCCACCTTCAGGCACGCCCAGCCCCATCGCACTCCTGCCCTCCCCGCCCTGCCCCACCCCTGTCCCAAGCAGACACACAGACACAGCCTGGGACCAGAAACGTTTATTGGGGTCTGGGGCTGGGCGAGGCCCCCGCAGACCATCATGCAGCCGTATGTACAGAGGGCAAGGGCCGCCCCCGGTGGTGCTGAGGGGCCTCATGGCAGCAAACAGGGCAGTGTGGCTTGTGCCCCCCTCGGCGGGGGGGGGGGGTGAAGTGGGGCAGGGGCCAGTGCATAAGACAATGTGTCCCTCCCACTGCTCGGGAGGGCGTAACTGTGCCCAGGATGGGGGTGGCATCAGCTGGCACGATCAAGGACACCAGAGGGGGCTCTGAGCGGGGGGAAGAGGGACACGGGCACCGGAGGAAAGCAACCAGCAAGGGAGTGTTTGTCTTTGTGGGTGCCCACCGCCCTCGGGGTGCCTTCCTGGTGGCCCAGCAACCACCCACCTTCCTCCCAGGGCGTTGGGTCCGGGACAGGGGAGCAAATACAGCCAGCGAGGCACCCTCCCTGCAGCGCTCAGAGAGGGGTGAGGGGGGGCCGCGTGGGAGTCAGCCCTGAGGCTGGGGCCCCTGGCTGGTGGGTCCTGCTGCTGGGGGGCTGATAGAGTCCTGACAATGAAATGGGGGTGTTTGGGCCAAGCGCAGGCCCGGGTTCAGTCGGGTTTCTGTGTTCAGGTTGCTCTTGGCTGTCCTCCCCCCGCCCCCGTACCCCCTCCCCATGAGCAAGGGCAGGGTGGGCTGCTCGGTGGTGACTGTGCTGCTGGAGGGGATGGTCTCGGCTGTGCCACATCCTCCCCAGCCCCCAGCCTCCCCTCCTCTGTCCGCCCAGAGTTCAAGTAGTGGGAGAGGTTCCTGCAGGACTTTCCTGAGAATTGATGAAGTTACTGAGGCAGTGAGGCCGGGAGAGGGACTCAGACCCTCCCAGAGCCCCAAACCCCCTCAGCGGACACAGAGCAGCACTGGGGGCCGAGGGCCGGGAAGGCACTCCTTCCGCAGGCAGCGTGGCCAGGCCGAAGCAGAGCTCCGTGGCAGAGGGAGTGTGGGCCATGCAAAGCTGGCGTGGGCACAGGAGGCTCTGGGGGAAGAAGCAGCAGGGATGTCCCCCCAAGAATGCCCCTCAGGGCTGGACTCAGCACGGCATCTGGACTGGGGGGTGCCTGGGCACGGGGTGGTCCTACCTGGAGCTCCGCCACCCCCCCCCATTCTCTCCTCCCCCACCCCCAAGTCCCAGAGGAGCACACCTTTCTGACCCCCTGGGACCCAAGAAATGGAACCTTCCTCAGTGCAGAAGCCTCCCAAGCCGTGGCGATGGCCGCTGGGGGAGGCGGAGGGAGGAAGCGCGTGGGCAGAGGCCCGCTCCCCTCCCGGGACCAGAAGCGAGGGCCAGGCACAGGCAGGGGCGGCATCTGGGTTCTCTTGGCTCCGCTCAGATCTCGGTCAGGGCGTCGGCTGGCACCAGGCCCCGCTTCTTGCCGCTGCTGACGCGGATGAAGCCGTCAGCATCCTTGCTCCTGCCCACGCCCACGCAGATCTGAGCCAGAGAGACACGATGCTGAGGCCTGGCCCTGCCTGCAGCCCCGGCACCGGGTCCTGCTGATGGCTCCCAGGCCCCCCCCCCCACACCGGGGAATGAGGAAACTGGCATCAGATGTGGCTACAGACCTCAGCCGGGGTGCTGGGTGCAGATCCCATGAGGGCACAGGGTGCAGCAGCAGACACAGCCGCACTCTGGGGCTGATGGTGAGACCAGCGGGTCTAACTAACCAGCCCCTCTCCCACATCTCAGCGGGACAAGAACTTGGCTGAGGTCACGCCACAAGCCGGAGGCAGGGCCACCATTCGAACCCGAGCCTCTGGACTCCCAATCCAGTGCTCCTCTCCTCCCCAAAGCTGTCTCCCAGGTAACGCAGCCCCCTGCCTGTGGCCACCAATCCCAATCTCCCTGGCACTCACCTGGTTCTCCTTGAGGCTCAGGTAGCCCTGCTCTTTGTTCCCGGTGAAGGGCTGGCAGCAGCGCCAAACGTTCTCGCCCGGCCTCACCCGCTGCACAAAGTTGGCCGGGAAGAAGCCAACCCGGTCGCCAATCTTGCCCTGGGGATGAGGCTGGCATGAGCACCAGGGCCCTCCACCCCTCACTGCTTTCTCCAGACCCAGGGACCACTCAGAGCCAATGCCAGGTTCCGGGTTCTCTGCATTCAGCCCCCGGTTGGGAAGGGCGTCAGGTGGGCAGAGGGACAGAGCTGAGGCAGCTAGGGCCGGGGTTGGGGGGAGGGAGGTTAAAGCAAGAGCAAGGCCTGAGGGCTGGCCCCAGGCTTGGCTAGAGCCAGTGGCTGCAGGAGGAGTGGTCTTTGGGGCCTGGAGAGAAGGGGGGGCAGTGCCCATTGGGGGCAGAGGTTGGTGACATGCCCACGAGGGTCCCTCCGCCTCCCACCCTGCCAACTCACCTTCCACCAGTCCTCGTTAGAGTCATCCACCAGCATGATCCGGTCTCCGGGCCTGGGGGGAGAGAGCGGGGCAGCAGGGGGAGGGGGGCGCTGGCCCTCTCTGCACCCCCCCTCCTGGGCCCCAGATCCCCTGCGTGGCCCCTCAGCGGAAGGCGGATTCCCGATGCCCTCAGCAGAGGACACTGAGTGACCTCAGGGACAGCGGACAGAGCCGGGGCAGGGGCGGGAGCCATGCCATCAGCACCCATTCCCTCTCGGACCCGGGGCAGCTAGCTCCACTCCTCTCTGGGCTCAGCAGCCTCCAGGACACGGGAGAAGGTTCCCGAAGGGCCCTTCACACTCGGGCCCCAAGGTCCGGAGCGCAGAGCCTGTGGTGGGGCCCTGGGCACAGGGAGGACTCACTGCAGAGCCAGGTCGTTGTTCTCCTGGGGCAGGAACTTGTAGAGCGCCACATAGGAGTACATGGGCCCCACGTCTTTCCGCAGCGGCTGCTTGGGGGGCTGTGGAGAGTCTGGGTCAGGGATGGGGCCACACCCTCTTCACTCCGCCCGCTGGCCTTGACCTTGCTACCTGGGGGCTGGGAGGTGGGACACGGGGCTCCTGGGTCAAGGACATGGAGAGACCAGCCTCTCCTAGCTGCTGTGCGCACACACCCCCCCGCGGGCACTGGGCCGGGATGGAGAAGGGGGGATCCTCTGCTGCCTTCTGCACCCTGAAACGGCCCACCCTGTGGGAACAGGAGTGGGAGCAATAGGCATTGGGCCAGTGGTGGGAGGGTGATGCCCCTGCCTGCTGTGGCCACTCCCCCTAGCATCGCCCACCCTGAAGACAGGCGGTGGACTGAGAATAAACGATGGAGCAGTGACACTTCCTCTCCCCTGTCCTCACCCCTCGGTGGGCCAGTGACACCTGGCCTCCTGGGGCTGGCGCCAGCATCCCTCACCTGCTGTCCCGGGCTCTTCTCCTCCGGTCCTGAGCCTTCGCTCTCTGCGGGGGCTGTGAACACTGCGGATGCCAGGGGCGGGGGGAGAGGGGAGAGGGCGAAGGGGGGAGGGGAGACAGGGTGTGAGGCAGCAGGAAGCCACCGCACTGGCACTGTGACCCCTTCCTGCCCCTGGCCCTTGACCTCCACTCACCGTTGTCGCCAGGGCCCTCCTCGGAGCTTCGGATGCTGCTCTCCCCATCCTCAGTCAGCTCCTCCCGCTCGCTCTGGGGACAGACGGAGGGAAGGGTTCAGCCCCTGGACCCTCATCCGCAGAGACCCCCGCCCCCGAGGCCCCCCTCTGGTGCCCACCGTACCAGGCTCCGTGTGGGGGACTCAGAGGCGCTGCTGAAGCTGGAGCGGTTCATCAGTGCCAAGGAGGTGCCATAGCGTAGGGTCTCGTAGACGGGGTCCACCTTCCCGCTGGCACCTGCCAAGGATCCACGCTCAAGACCGGGCACCCCGCTGCCAGCCTCGCTCAGCATCCTGGAGGCTAAACCCTGGTCTCCCCTCATCTGCCCTCCCCCCTCTCCCCATCACAGGGAGAGCCAGGTCCTCCCACGGAGCCCACGCAGAAATTGTGGCATTTTTGACCCCTCCCTCTCCTCACTGCCCACATCACTCCAGTCACTTAGTCCTACCTTCGGAATGTTCTAGAACCTGCCCACTTCCCTCCCTCTCCACCGCTACCAGTCTGCCCCAAGCTCCCAAACTCTCTCTTGGCAACCATCACAACCTTCCAACTACTCTCTCTGCTTCCACTGTGCCCCTCCAGTCCGCACAGCAGCCAGAATGCCCTTGTCCTTAGAATAAAGTCCAAAGAATAATCACAAAATGGACCCCCAGGCCCTGGGCCCATGGTCCTGTCACACCCTCTCACTCTCACTCCCTGAGTCCCAGCCATATTGTCTTTTCTTTTTCTTTTTCTTTTTTTTAATATATTTTATTGATTTTCCACAGAGAGGAAGGGAGAAGGATAGAGAGCTAGAAACATCAATGAGAAAGGAACATCGACCAGTTGCCTCCTGCACACCCCCTTCTGGAGATGTGCCCGCAACCAATGTACATGCCCTTGACCGGAATTGAACCTGGGACCCTTCCGTCCGCAGACCTAAGCTCTATCCACTGAGGCACACCGGTCCCAGGGCAGTTGCTGTCCTTTCTTTAACTCCCCTTCCGCCTCAGGCCACACCCTCTGCCCACACTCCCTTCCCCAGAGCCTCCGCGGACTGACTCCCCACCCTTCACGCTTCCCGGATGCCTCTCCCAGGTTCCATGGCTGGGGACGGCGGCTGCCTTCTCCTCTCTTTATTTCTTATCCTCTTTTCGGGCGTCCGTCTGAACCATGACTAGTTGATCATTGGTGTGATTTCGTATTTCATGTCCAGCTTCCTCACGGACCACGAACTTCGGTGTGGCTGGCACAATGTCTGGCCCCAGTAGGTGCTCAGTAGGGTTTTGTTGAAGGAGGAGTGGGTGAAGGAGCCCTACCTTCAGAAGGGCAGTGGTGGCGTGTGACACGGCGTCCCCATGAGGAAGGCGTGGTTTCTCCACGCCCCACAGTGGGGTCGGGAGCAGCAGGGGGTACTCACCGGTGGGGGGAGACTCTCTGCTGGTGGCACAGGCTGGCGGCGGCTCATGCACCAGGAGCGGGGAGCTGAAGTTGCGACGGAAGGAGGAAGACTAGGGCAAGAGGGGACGGAGAGAGGGCGTGAGCACCCCGTAGCCCGTGGAGTAACTGATCTTCCTCAACGCCACATGGGGAACCAGCCTGGAGGGGGACTCCTCCCCACCCTGGGGGCTCTCTGCCAGCTGCCTCCACTCACTATCTTTTTTTTTTAAATTTTATATTTTATTGATTTTTTTTTTTTTTTTTTTTTTACAGAAAGGAAGGGAGAGGGATAGAGAGTCAGAAACATCTATGAGAAACATCGATCAGCTACCTCCTGCACACCCCCCACTGGGGATGTGCCCGCCACCCAGGTACATGCCTTGACCGGAATCGAACCCGGGACCCTTCAGTCCGCAGGCTCTATCCACTGAGCCACACCGGGTTCGGCCCCACTCACCGACTTGACCGGGCATTGCTGGTGGGAGATCTCCTCTGAGCACCAGAGGTGGACACTGACTTTGCACGTCTTACAGCGCAAGCCCTGCTTGGAGTTTCCTGGGGAGAATTTGGGCTCAGAAAAAGAGGTTGATGGAGACAGGACACCCCCAGGGGCAATGGAGCAAAGGAGGCAGATGAGGGAGGAGGGGAAGGGGAGGGGGACCAGTCTCCGGGACCAGCATCTACCCCTCCTCCAGTCCGAGTGTGAACTTGCACTGAAGCCCGAGTTGTTAGTAAACACAGCAAGGCCTTGACCCCCACCCCAACAGTGCTCATCTGTCTGCCCGGGGTGAGGGGCACAGTGAGAACTGGGAGCCATGACTCTCAGGCCCCTCCCCTCGCCCGCCTCAGGCACCTACCCACAATGAACTGGTGGCACAGCTCGCAGGGGTTGGCTCGCTTGAAGACGTGTTCCTGGAAGCTGTGCAGCCTCACCGGCTTGAGAGATGTCAGGGGCCGTGGGACCGGGCAGGGGGAGGGGGCCGGGGGGGGCAGGCCCCTCTCGGTGGGTGCCCGGGGCGGGGAGGAGGGGGGCAGCGGGGTCGGCGGGGTCAGCAGCACCTCGGTGGGGCACTTGAGCTCGGAGCCGGAGCCGGAGCGGAGGAAGAAGTTCTCCACGCTCTTACTGCGGAGGATGGTCCTGAGGGACAGCGAGCGCTTGAACCGCTGGAGCTGAGGGAGGAGGAGGGGCTGTGAGCGGAAGCCCAGGAGGCTGCTGCCCCCCAGGAGAGCAGAGGTGAGCTGAAGATCCAGAACCCCAGAGGCCTCCGGCGACCTCCGTGAGCAAAGGAGTCCGGGCTGGGCAGGCGCACAATGAGGGGGTGGGGACCGGGGCTGGGCAGGCGCACAATGAGGGGGTGGGGACCTCCCTGGACTGAACAGCCAGGGAGGCCACCCAGGAGGGTCAGGTTTTCCAATATATTTTTTTAATATATTTTATTGATTTTTCACAGAGAGGAAGAGAGAGGGATAGAGAATTAGGAACATCGATGAGAGAGAAACATTAATCAGCTGCCTGCTACACCCCCCCCTCTGGGGATGTGCCCACAACCAAGGCATGTGCCCTTGACCGGAATCGAACCCGGGACCCTTCAGTCCACAGGCCGACGCTCTATCCACTGGGCCAAACCGGTTTCGGCAGGTTTTCCAATTTTCAAAAGAAACCTAGACTTCTATGGGAAATCGAATGGAAACACATTTAAAAGGGTTGATTTTTTTTTTTTTTTTCCCCTTTGCAGAAATGGTTAGCATACTGTTTTTCCTGTACCTTGCTTTTCCCACGTCACAGTAAATCTTGGAAGTCATTCCATACCAATACTTAGAGATCCATCATTCTTCTTTATGGCTCCACAGGGCTTCGTGGTATGGGCACACCGTTTACTCGAGTTAAAAAATGCTTTTGGGGGTCAAACACAACACACCAGGTCCAGTTGTCCACCTGTTCTTTTATTATTATTAATTATTATTATTGATTTTTCACAGGGAGGAAGAGAGAGGGATAGAGAGCTAAAAACATCGATGAGAGAGAAACATGGGACAACTGCCTCCTGCACACCCCTACCAGGGATCTGCCTGCAACCAACGTACATGCCCCTGACTGGAATTGAACCCGGAACCTTTCAGAATACAGACTGACGCTCTATCCACCCAGCCAAACCGGTTTCGGCTGTCCATTACAGCTTCCATTACTGTCCTTGAACAGGGTGGGAGTGGTCATCCTGAACCCTCGTCCTCAGGGCTGTTTTCCCTCTAAAACTCCTCTCCAGCCTGTCCCCTACGACTGCCTCATCATTCACACAGCCCTGCCCTAATTCAGGCCACAGCACCCCAAGCTGATTGAGGCCACAACCTTTTGCCTCCACCTGCTTTATATATATGTTTTTTATTGATTTGAGAGAGAGGAAGGGAGAGGGAGAGATAGAAACATCAATGGTGAGAGAGAATCATTGATTGGCTGCCTCCTGCAGGTCCTTTAATAGGGATTGAGCGCACAACCTGGGCATGTGTCCTGACTAGGAATCAACCATGACCTCCTGGTTCATGGGTCTGCTCTCAACCACCGAGCCACACCAGCCGGGCTGCCTCCATCTGCTTTCCATACAGGGAGGTGATCCCTGACCTTGCTAAAAACTTTTCATGGCCCTACCCAGTTTGGCTCAGTGGATAGAGCCTCTGCCTGCGAACTGAAGGGTCACAGGTTTGATTCCGGCCAAGGGGTATGGGCTCAAACCCTAGCAGGGGGTGTGCAGGAGGCAGCCAATCAATGATTCTCTCTCACCATTGATGTTTCTATCTCTCCCTCTCCCTTCCTCTCTGAAATCAGTAATATATATATTACAGAGAGAAAGGGAGAGGGTTAGAGAGTCAGAAACATTGATGAGAGAGAAACATCCATCCACTGCCTCCTGCACACCCCTACTGGGAATGTGCCCGCAACCAAGGTACATGCTCTTGATCAGGAATTGAAACCGGGCCGGTGCTCTATCCACTGAGCCACACCGGTTTCGGCAATAAAAATTTATTTTTAAAAACCAAAAACAAACCTTTTCATGGTTCCTCAGGACCCAGCCAAGCCCTCGCTTCAGACATGAGACTGCAACTTGGGCAAACCTGCCTTTCCAGCCCAGGCCTTCCGCCTGCCACCCAGGCCTGAGGACTCACTCTGGCTTATCCTGCTCTATGCCCCTGAGCTATGGCTTATTTATTCTCTTCTCTCCTCATCCAGTTAATACCCTCTTTATCCTTCAGGATTTCTCGTGACTTCCTCTTCCGGGAAGCTGTCTCTCCTGCAGGAATTCCATTTAGTGGAACCACCCCCTCCTCCGGGGCCAGCCACCCTGACGCTGACTTCCATTACAGCTCCAATCAGGTTTATGTTGTTATTCACTTCTCCTTCTCCCCAGAGCCCGGGAGCCAGCCCAGGGCAGGGGCCGAGGCTGCACATCTCAGCACAGAGCCTGCGCACACAGTGGATGCCCGGTCAGTGTTTGCTGAATAAATGAGCAAAGTGGCTGGAATCCCAAATGGAGCCCGTTTGGAGTGCAGAGCGGATCCTGCAGGGAGGCCAGGGTTCTTTCCACTGCTGGCCCTCACACACCATCCCCGAGCCTGCCCAGAGCGAGACCTGGAATCTTCTCCACCCACATCCTTGCCCCACTCCCCTCCTGTGGAGCGTCCCCTCCCCTCGCCTACTCCTTCCCACAGCGATAGAAAAAGGGGGAGGGGGGCGCCCAGAAGCCTGGCTCCAGACAGGAAGACTTGGCCAGGGTTCCCGGCTGGCACACCAGGCAGCCTGTGTGCCATGGCAGCCAGCCTGGTGGCGGTGCCAAGAGGATGGAAATGGTGGCCCCTCCAGACCTGGGGAGGTCAGCCGGCAGCGAGACGGATGAGGGGAGCGGAGAGGGAGGTGTTTGGGCACAAGGGAGGCCTCGTGTGGCACTGCCAGCTGTGAAGCCAGAACCCTGGGGCGTCTGGCACCCTGAGCTGCCCAGTGCCTTCCGAACGCAGCTTCCTGGACAGCGCTGTGGGCTCCTTTGTGTGCCTGTGAGAACGGGGCCCCGGGCCCGGCATGCCTGCGCGCTGAGGCAGAGGTGGAGGCCAGAGGGCCAACGGATCCGGACACAAATGTGATCTACTGGCCAACGGTGGCTCCGGGGCTTTCACAGACGGAACACACGAGGTCTCCGGACGTCCGTGCTGGGGGCGGGGGCAGAACCAAACCTGCTGTCTAAAGGCACGTCACTTCTCTGCCTCTCTCCGTGACTCAGTTTCCCCACATCCAAGAGGAAAGAGGTAGGACTATGTGCTCTCTAAGCAATGCAAGGCTCTGGGCCCAAAAAGCAAAAAACATAAACTGATAGCTATAAGGGGCTGTCATTGTCAGCGAGCTGGGAGGGAGTTCGCACTTTTTCTGCAACATCTCATCCATCCTGGCTCTGCCATCTGAGGTGGTGACCGTGATCCTAGCCCCCTTTCACAGGAGGAACTGAGTCTCACAGGGGTGAAGGCACTTACTCATGAGTCCTCAACTGGGAAGTAGCAGAGCCAGGACTCGAACCAGTGGCTCTGGCTGTTGAGCCCAAGTGAGCAGGAGCCTCCTGCCGCGCTGTGCCGGGCCTTGGCCCTCACCTCTGCCCCTCAGTTGCTCCATGAGCTTGTCTACAGGTCAGTAACACAATGTAGGCAGGAAGGGACTTAAAGACCACATTGTGTTACTGGCCTGCAGACACGCCTGCCTATGGAGAGCAGTCCCTACCCGGCCCCCCTGCCCGGCCCCTCAGAATGGTTGTCCCACTGTGCTGGTCACCCCTGTGACAGGAAGCACACCCACTCTTGGGACAGGCACCCCACCTCTGGGCAGCCACACTCACTGGACGGCGCTTCCCCATGGAGCTGAAACCCGCCTCCTGCCACTTCTGCCTGCGGGCCCTGCTCCTCCCGTCGCTCCAGGGAGGGCTGCTCCCTCTCACATGTGTCAGTCCTTCAAATAGTTTAAGACAGCAATCACGTCCCCTTCCCCAGGCCATTATTTTCATAGCAACCTCCCAGCATCACTACCATCCTCCCCATTCTCCCCTCAAGCGGCCCCCTGGCCTCGGAGCCGCGAGCCACGTCTCGGGGTCCCAGAGGCCTCGGAAACACAATGTTCCCCAGCTCCAGGGCAACCCCGACTCTGTCGGAAACTCACTGGCTGGGTGTGGGCCCCGGGTACCACCTGGGGAGGCTGGCAGATGCCAAGGGCTGTGGTTGGAGGGCAGGAAGCGTCACCGCTGATGCCTGCTCCCTCCAGAGACATTGGCTCGGCTGCACGTTGTCATTTTGGCCCAGCCTGGCCAAGTGTTCCCACCCCGGGGCTCCTCGTTCCCGGAGAAGATCTCTCCCCACCTCCCCGTCAGCTATGTTTTGGGTGCCCGCACCATTCCAGGACCCGTTCCCTGGCACCGGGAGGGGTTGCCATATACCCTGGTGAGCTGGATCCTCCCTCGGATCCTGTTCCATCCCAAGGCACCTGGAGCTTGGCTGGCTTGGGGCCTGAACCACCAGCCCTGTTCTTCTGAATTCCTCCCCACTTCCCCGAACCCTAGGCCAGGAGTGGGAATGCCAGGTCCACGGGCCATATAAGGCCTGCAAAACCACTTGGTGCGGCCCTGCCAAGGCATTCGGGGTGAGATAATTGAATGTCTGAGCAAATAGAGCAGGCTGATTTTTAAGTTGGCAATTGTGTGTGGCCCACGCATGATGTGATAAACATCCGAATGGCCCTGGGCAGAAGAAAGGTTCCCCACCCCTGCCCTCGATGGTCCCTTCTCTTCTCCGTTCCCTGCTGTACCTCACACCTCCTGCCAGCTCCTGAAAGGGCACGAAGCAGCTGGCAGTGGGTGTTGGTGGACTTGGCACAAGCTGACTCAGATGGCAGAGCTGGCATGGCAGGGTCTTCCCAAAGATGGCACCAAAGGGGGTGATCGCGGGCCCTGTGTGGTAGCATGGGATGGGGACCCAGAAGAGGAGATGCTGACACGAGGAAGGTGGCTCAGTAGCTTGGGTGCAGGGGTGAGACCCAACCGTAGGGTGGGCAGAAGGATGGATTTGGCAATAAATGCCCAGGGGGCTCACTGATGGACAAGCCTGGGATGTTGGCTTCACTGCCTGGTGGGTCCCAGCCCCGTCTGGTGTACCTGCCTCCAACTGAGCTGGGTGGGCAGCAACCAACCCTCTTCCTTTCCTCTCCCGCACTGCCACACCTGGAGACAGAAGTTTCCTTGAGACAGGTTGGGGGAAGAGAACGAAGGAGGCTGACAAGGGCCCTGAATTATTCTTTCTCTGCCCACCTCTGCCCTCCTGACCCCCAGCCCAGCTTGTTATTACTGAGTTATGGCCAAGTTCTTCCCAAGGGGGTGGCACAGGGGAAGGGCACAAAGGCACAGAGTGGCCAGGCCAGGTGTGCACTCCTCCCCTGCTCCTGGGATAGCCGAGGCTCAGACCCAGCGGTGACTGGCATTGGAGGGTCCTTGGGCTGGGAGGGGGGCAGTGCAAACCTCCTGGCACAGCCTCCCCCTCCCCTCACAGCTGAGCTTGCAGCCTGCTGACTGCTGAGGCAGCACTGCCCAGGGATCCTGCCTGCGCTCACTCCCGCATGCTTGTGGGGAGCTAAGGACAGGGCAGAGCGGCCAGGCCTCGGTGTGGGGAGCAGACCCCCTAGTCCCTGGGGAGCAGGGAGGGTATGTCTGTCCAGGGTGACCAGAGGACACTGATAAGGCCGGGGGCCTTGGGCCTCGGGATGGGGCTCAGCTCCTGGGACCCTCTGCGGGAACGAAGCTGTCACAGATATTCCAAGCACCGCCTCCTGCCCCACACCTCTTTCCTTTCCCAGGATTCACGTGGCTTTCTGAAGGGGTGTTAACTCTGGTCTGAGAGCCGGGGTCTCATTCTCAGAAAGGCCAGGAGAAGGTCAAATGTATATCTGATAAAAAAAACAAACAAACAAACAAAAACAAAAAACAGCCGAAATCGGTGTGGCTCAGTGGATAGAGCGTCAGCCTGCGGACTGAAAGGTCCTAGGTTCGATTCCGGTCATGGGCATGTACCTTGGTTGCGGGCACATCCCCAGTGGGGGTGTGCAAGAGGCAGCTGGTCGATGATTCTCTCTCATCGATGTTTCTAACTCTCTGTCCCTCTCTCTTCCTCTCTGTAAGAAATCAATTAAATATATTTAAAAACAAAAAACAAAAACAACCCTGACTGGTTTGGCTCAGTGGATAGAGTGTCAGCCTGCAGCCTGAAAAGTCCCAAGTTTGATTCCAGTCAAGGGCATGTACCTTGGTTGCGGGCACATCCCCAGTAGGGAATATGCAGGAGGCAGCTGATTGGTGTTTCTCTCTCATTGATGTTTCTGACTCTCTATCCCTCTCTGTAAAAGTCAATAAAATATATATATTTTTAAAAATACAAAGAATTTTAAACATGTATATCTGAAGACTTGGACAGGAAGACCCACTGGGTCCCTCTGGTTCAGGGATGGGGAGCTTCCTGGGTGCCTCAGCCAGACTCCACCGTGGCTTTATTCACTTCCCCCTGGTCACCCCCTTGATGACCTTGACCTTGAATTAACCTTATATCCTGGAGTGGGAGGGGGCCAAGACAGAATGAGGAAGAAGAGGGCATTGGAGAGAACTCCAGATGAACTAGAGATACTACCAGGGGGAGCCAAAGACCCATCTATTCTGGTCCTCACTGCCTTCCTCTGTGTAAGAGGGGCAGGGCGGAAACAAAATACCCGGCGGGAGGGAAAGGAGGTCTTGGCCTGAAGTCTGGAGAAGGGGCAGAGCTTCTCCCCATCCCCATCCCCATCCCCATCCCCATCCCCATCCCCAGCCCCAACCCCATCCCCAGCCCCATCCCCAACCCCATCCCCAGCCCCAGCCCCAGCCCCAGCCCCAGCCCCAGCCCCAACCCCAACCCCAACCCCATCCCCAGCCCCAGCCCCAGCCCCATCCCCAGCCCCAGCCCCAGCCCCAGCCCCAGCCCCAGCTCCATCCCCAACCCCATCCCCAGCCCCAGCCCCAGCCCCAGCCCCAGCCCCATCCCCATCCCCAGCCCCAGCCCCAGCCCCAGCTCCATCCCCAGCCCCAGTCCCAGCCCCAGCCCCAGCCCCAGGCCGGCTGAGGCTGCTTCCCGCAGAACTTCTCGCGGGTGAGTTGAGAGCACCTAGAACTTTGGGAAGGGGGCGACAGATCAGAAGAGGGACGGGGTAGGGGGTGAGAGGGTGGAGGGTGGGGGGAGGGAGAGGAAGGGGTGCATTGAATGTGAGCGACGCCCTCACCCGCTCCAGAGCCCGGACTCGGCTCCGCCTGACTTCCCTGGGGAATAACGCATTCCCGGTGACTCCCGCAGGAGCAGCGATCATACATAATCAGGGTTAATTATGATATTCATTAATTACGATGACTTCTCTCTCTCTCTCTCTCTCTCTCTCTCTCTCTCTCTCTCTCTCTCTCTCTCTCTCTCTCTCTCTCTCTCTCTCTCTCCTCGTTACCCGCCTATCCCACCCCAGCCTCGTCCAGATCCCGGGTGCGGGGAGAGCAGAGCCGCAGCCACAGCCCGGGTCCCCGCCGCGCCGGCCCCGCTGCCGCAGCCCCCGCCTGGCCTCGGACGCTGCGCACCCCGGCCGCGGCCTCGCGTCCCCGGACTAACCGGGCGGGAGGGGGGCTGCGGGGCTGCGGCGGGACGGGGAGACTCGGCGGTAAACACGTAGGGGAGCCCCGAGAACGCGGGAGAGAGACGCGCCCCGAGAGACACAGGACAGACAGCGGGCTGTGGAGACGTGTCCAGAGACGCGGGCAGAGAGCCGGGCCGGCTGCGCGGCACCCCGACACCCGGCGGCTCCGCGGGGATGCGCCCCGCACGCAGCGCCCCGGCGCGGACACCGCCGCTCACGGCCACACGCTCCCCCGCCCGCCCGGTTCCCTCCAGCCGCGCCGGCCCCGGCCCCGGCCCCGGAGGCCCCGGAGGGTCCGGTGCGTCCGCTCATCACGCGCGCAAGGGCGGGCCGAGCCGGGCGCGGGGGGCTCCGGGCGGCCCGCCGCCGCGAACCCACTCCCCCGCGCAGAGCCTCAGGGATCACACCTGCCCCGATGCTGTGACCCCGGGGCAGCCGGACCCGGAGTGGCCACCGAGGCCGGAGCCCGGAATCGGCGTCCGGCCCCCCGGGGGCGCCGCGGCCAGGGCGGTCCAGGCCCCGCGCCCCCCCAGTTACCTTGGTCTCTGGGAGGGCGGACCCGGTCCCCGGGGCGGCGTGGGCGGCCGCCTCATCCGGCTCGCTCTCCTTCTCGCTCATCTCGGTCATGGTCCGGGGCGAAGGGCCGCGAGGACGCCGACACCCGACGGTCCTCCCGCCGCGGGGCAGGCTGCGGGGGGGCGCGGGCGTCTCTCCGGGACCCTGACGCCCTTCTCCGGAGCCTGCCTCCCCAGGAGACACCCGTCCAGACACGGCCACCCCTCACTCCCGGGCGCGGGCGGGGAGAAAGTTCCCGGGGCGGCCGGCGAGGGGTGGCGATTGCGCGGGGCGGCGGGAGCGGGACGACCCCGGGAGTGAGGACCGTGAGGACAGAGGGTCCGCGGAGGATGCTGCTGGGAGTCAGGGGAGGAGGGACGCGGGGACGCGGGGATGAGCAGCGGGAGGGAGCCGCGGAGCGGTCCTGGTCTGGCCACCTCCGCCGCTCTCTGAGCCCGCCCCCCATCCCCCCCCGCGGGCCCCGGCCCGCACCCCGGGCCCCCGCCGCCCAGTCCTCGCTCCCAACTTTGATTTAGGAGGTCGCGTGGTTCCGCCCCCCGCCCGCCGCCGCGCCCCCGCGCCTCTATGCAAATCAGCTCCTCCGCTATTGGCTACCGCGGCGGGGGCGGGGGCGGGGCCTGGGAGGGCTCGACAAGAAGGGGCGGGGCCTGGGAGGGAGAGCCGTGGAGGGGGCCGTGCTACATTGAAAAAACCTGGGATGGGTGGGTGGCGTGACAAGGTTGAGGGATGGCTCCAGAGGTCACAGTAGTCTGGAGAAGGTTGGGGTGGTGGTGGGGTGGAGAGTAGAAATAGGTTACACCTGCAGGAGGAGAGCCGAGAGTGGAATCCAAATGAGGACTCCCCTGACAGAGGTGGAGGAAGGATAGGGGGGAGATTCTGCCCCATTCAGCACCGGGCTGTCTCTCTGCCCTGAAGAGACGCTCCCCCCACACACGTCCCCTGGGCTGTGAGGCAGTGATTTCCTCAACAGAGAGGGGGCGACTTAACATCATGTGTCAAAGACCAGGCCTGATACACTGTTTTTTTTTGTGGATGAAAAGCTGGACGTGGTGTCAGTTTCCAGTCTTGTCTGGACTTCAGCAGGAAAGAGAGACGTGGCCTCCGTCCCAGCACCTGAGGCCCTCTAACCTTCTCCAGGACCCGCCCCCTCCCAGAGCCTGCCGCAGCTGGAGTTGGCTCAGGGGGTAGGGAACGGGGGAGGGGCAAGCAGGTTCTTGCCCTCCAAGGTGTCTTCTGCCCACTTGTCTGAAGGTATCGCTTCTTCTTCTTCTTTTTTTTTTTTATTGATTTTTCAGAGAGGAAGAAAGAGGGATAGAGAGTTAGAAACATCGATGAGAGAGAATCATCCATCAGCTGCCTTTTGCACACCCCCTACTGGGGACGTGCCCTCAACCAAGGTACATGCCCTTGACCGGAATCAAACCCGGGACCTTTCAGTCCGCAGGCCGACGCTCTATCCACTGAGCCACACCGGTTCCAGCTGAAGGTATCGCTTCTAATGCGTGTGTGTGTGTGTGTGTGTGTGTGTGTGTGTATCTATTTCCCCAAGTCCTCCTCCCTCACCGCCTCCCTCCCCTCCCATCCTGATCAAAAGGTCTAGCGTCACCTCTTGGCCTGTCCACGGAAAGAGAGGTAAGTTGGGAGTTGAGAGACTTCTAGGTCTAAGTCTCCTTCCTCCTCATCTGCTGTGGGTGATAAGATGGGGGCGGGGGGACCTCAAGAAGGTCCTGCCTGTATGGCAGCCCTGGAGGAGGGGCTGGACCCCATGTCTGCCCGTGCACAGAGCAATCCATGTGATCTCTGTCCTCCCAAGGATGAGCTCACCATCGGAGGACCGCTCAGGTCTCTGTGTCCGAGAATAGAGATTTACTTGCAGGGACAGAAGTAGGACAAGGGCAGACGTGAGGGTTCGTGATTGTGGGGCTCAATCCCCTTCCCTCCAGATGCGCCCGCTGCAGCCACGGCCCCTGAGAGCTAGCTTTCCCGAAAGGAGCTGCACTAGGACCTGGCCCACTCATGACCAGCCACCTCCCAATCTCCTCAGAGGGCTGCCCTTCTCCCTCTTGCCCAGCTCAGGGCACCCCAAAATCCCCTCCCTGGCCGATTGAGATGTAGAAATGCTGGGAGCACCCTGAGACGCCTCCTCCCCACACCCGATCTGGATTTAGAGCAAACCAGGCCTTCTGCATTTAGAGACCTCCTGGGGAGGTACCCCTGTTTCTCCCACCTAGCGGGAACTCGGGGTTCCTTAGAATCCAGGGCCTGTGACCTTGGGTGAGGAGCTAAACCCTTTAGAGCCTCGATCTCTTCATTAGCAAATGGACCCGGGCAGTGTTAGGAGAATGAGTGCGTTAGCCCTGGGAAGACAAGCAGGGAACGTTCCTTTCCTTCTCTGCCTCCTTTCTTTTGGGACATTTGTTCCTTCCCAGTGCTCTTCCCGAGGCAGAGAGGAGCGCAGCGTCGTTCCCCTCGCTTTCCTGAGTCACCGGGAGCCTGTTGTTTCGTGGGGGAGTCAACCCAGGAAGGGACTCTGATGAGACAAGAAGGAGAATCCCCAGGGGCGTCTGTGGCACCAGGGACCAAGGCGAGCAGGACAGTTGGTGGGCCCTGGACCCATCCGGCCTGGGCACCAGAAGCCTGAGGTGGGGCAAACGTGGAGGAGGCCAGGGGCTGGGTGCCATGCCCTCTGGATGTCCTCTCTGGAGTGCCTCAGAGAAGCGTTCGCACACTACGTCTGAGTCATCGTCTCAGTGCCAACAACTCCTGCTGCAGTGGCTCAGGGCCGGGGCCTGAGCCCCGGACTGGCTGCTCCTGCAAGAAGAACCTTGTCCCATCCCAGAGGCAGTGGCTGAAATAACCAGGGCCAAGGTGCCAGGAGAGGTCACATGGCAGTCACACTCTCAAAAGAGCCCCCTGGACCAGGGGCCAAAATACCGCTGCTGGAGTGCCTCTCGGCCGGAGAACCGCCAGAATGAGAGTGGGCACTGGGCTCTCAGGAGCCCAGGGACTGAGGGGTGGCCAGCGGCTTAAATCTGCCCGCGGCACAGTGTCCAGCACACTCAGTCTGGTCCTTGTCCCAGTCTGTCCTTGTTTTTCCTGGTCTTCAATTTGGGGCAAAGAGCTGTTCTCTGGAGGGACATTCATTTCCTTCTTTTCAGATGGGCAGAGTTGGACTAGGATAGGTTGAAATGGGGAGTTGGATTAAAATGGGGCAATAATAGTTGTTATTAAGAATTCTTTTTTAGCCGAAACCGGTTTGGCTCAGTGGTAGAGCGTCGGTCTGCGGACTGAAGGGTCCTGGGTTCGATTCTGGTCAGGGGCATGTATGTTAGTTGCGGGCACATCCCCAGAAGGGGGTGTGCAAGAGGCAGCTGGTCGGTGTTTCTCTGTCATTGACGTTTCTGGCTCTTTATCTCTCTCCGTTTCTCTCTGTAAAAAATCAATAAAATATATTTTTTAAAAAGAAGAATTATTTTTAAAAAATATATTATTTTTGCCGAAACCGATTTGGCTCATTGGATAGAGCGTCGGCTTGTGGACTGAAAGGTCCCGGATTCGATTCCGATAAAGGGCATGTACCTGGGTTGTGGGCATATCCCCAGTGGGGGGGGGGGGGCAGGAGGCAGCCGATTGGTGATATTTTATTGATTTTCTTTTTTTACAGAGAGGAAGAGAGAGGGATAGAGAGTCAGAAACATCGATGAGAGAGAATCACCCGCAACCAAGATACACGCCCCTGACCGGAATCGAACCCAGGGACCTTTCAGTCCGCAGGCCGACGCTCTATCCACTGAGCCAAACTGGTTAGGGCTGTTATTAGGAATTCTTAACTTCGGGCTTCCAGGGAAGCTCTAGGAAGTGACTGGACCCCTTGAAACTATGTAAAATTTGGGGGGTAAGCACTTTCCTCAGAGAATCTAAGATCCCCAAAGGATTAAGAATCTTTGGCTTGAATGACCCCTAGGATTCCTCCAGGAAGAGGCTGAGATCCGCTGATGTGAGGGTTGCTTCCTTCCCAGGACTGACTCATTTCCCCACAAACACCTTCAGCTCAAGCCTTCCCGCTGTGACCTCTGCCCCCAAGGCTGCCCAGGGCAGCCCGAGCTGAAGGCCTGCGTGCTGGTCTTTCCCTCTAGCTTTAGCACCGGCACCCTGGGGTGGGGTAGTCCATCGTGGCTGAGGCCAAGTCTGAGTTCTCAGCTCCTCACGGGGGAGAGAACGGGGGCCCGTGGGGCTGGGGGGGCAGAGGACACCATGAGTGGCCTGGCCGTGTCCAGCCTCCCCCACCTCCCCCTGCCGGCCAGCCCCCGCTGGGGCCCAGAGGCAGATCCCACGCTAAGCGCTGGGGCCCGTGGCAGGCCTCGGTAATTACGACTTTATGGAAATATGGAAGGCTCTTACGCAAGCGCCTGACACACTTCCCGTCTGTGGCATCTGGGACAGCCAGGTCCCCAGGGGCTGGAGGAGGGCCCCTCCGCCCCCCGCTGCCACCAACCCCAGGAGCTCAGGACACTGGCCCAGAGCCACCCTCCCACTGCCCGTGGCATTGTCCCTAATGCGCCCTGGCTGAGCCGTTCTCTCTCTCTGCGCCCCAGGCTCCCTGGAGGGGAACGAATCGGGCTCCAGCGTATGCCACCCCTTCCCTGTGCCCTGCCAAGCCCAGGAGCCCTGTCCTTGGGTGAGGGGACAGTGGGGATGGGGGCGTTTTCCTTTCCTCCTTGAAGAAAATCTCTCTTTCCAGGAAGATGTCCCCTTCTATTCGGTTTCTTTCTTTTTTCTTTTTAAAATATATTTTATTGGTCTTTTACAGAAATGAAGGGAGAGGGACAGAAAGCTAGAAACATCAATGGGAGAGAAACACCCATCAACTGCCTCCTGCACGCCCCCTACTGGGGATGTGCCTGCAACCAAGGTACATGCCCTTGACCGGAATCGAACCTGGGACCCCAGTGTCCGCAGGCCGGCGCTCTATCCATTGAGCCACACTGGTTGGAGCTGTTCTGTTTCTTTTTTCCTTGAGGCTGGGAACATAGGGCTGAGGGCAGCCATGA